TCAGACAGCTCACCCTCACCTTAATTGCAGAGCAGCTTCATTTGTTGACTTGTCTGTTGTGCAATTAGCAACAGTTATAAAAACAAGTAATGAAATTATAATGGTGGTTGAAATAGTAGCTGGAACATAACGACTGTGTAATACATACTCTGTGTACAAAAAATAAATGCACAAATTAGTACCACAGAGATGTATATAGATTCACTTAAAATGAATTAAGATCCATATTTGACACTGTAAGATAAACACACTCCTCAACAATTGATTTTACTACTTGCTGTCTTGTGCAGTAGTATTAAAATGGCCCTGATGCAGGCTGACATGACTGCAGTGTCTTTGCTGTAGCACAAGAGACTAAATACCTAAGAGAGAACCAAATATGTGTCATTGGAAGAGGTCACCGTATGCACAAGCTGCTCAGTGGTAATGCCTTTGGGTTTCTTTCTCACTCACCCACGCCCTAGGCAAGTGCAATTTGTCTGCTTCTGGTGGGCAAGAGAAGCGATGCTCTCCTGAAGTCTTTCACCAGCTGGAATTCACTGGACTGCAGGACAAAACTTTGGCAAACAACCTTAAGGATTTTCAGTTATAAAGGTGTCTGCTGGCCAGCCAAGGTTTAATGTCAACATTAGCGGCTAAGCCCCTTCAGGTAGGTTATTAAAACAAAGGTAGAACGGCCTGACACCCAGCCAGTTGCCAACACAGCAGTTCTTTAGTAGGTTATCCTGACCCCTGTTTTTCAGATGTTTTGGTCAGGCTTTCACGTGGTGTTTTCCTTTGTTTCCTGCATGTCCCTGAAGAGGAAGGAGAATTCCCCTTCCACATAGTTTTTTGCACACTAGGTCTGTCCTCCCTCATCAGCAACGCTCGTGCAGGGGAGTATCTGGCTGAAAGGTCCTGGACATGGACTCTCTTCCCTGGAGCTGAGGCTTGTGGAGGTGCTGTCAACTGCAGGATCACAGTACTGAGGGGGACATAAGTAAGCTCCACACAGACATGGTGCTTCAGAAAGGAAAAGGACAAATCCCTCCAGCATCATAGCACATTTCACCTTTTGAATCTGATCAAAGCTGAGGCTATGTATACACATGCAGTAAAGACAACTTGGATTGTTCAGTGTTACTACTGGAACCCTTATATATTTTCATTGAAATCTGGTTTTTAATAATGCCTTAAAAAATACATTTTGGCATTAGATACACTTACTTTTAAATGACAGACAAATCTAACAACAGACATAAAAACTGTTACTTCAGACATTTATTGTAATTTAACCAAATACTTAAAATATCTGTGAATTGGATTCATCTAATAACCACAAAATTCTTTCAATTCCTTTTGTTTCTAGCAAAGACTCTAAAAGGCAATCTAGCATACTTGTTAGGAAAATGAGTACGATTAATGCCCATTAAGGTAACATATACTATTACTGTTACTCAAATACCAACAAAAAAATAAACAATTTGGTTTTAGACCATACAATTAGTAATAGCAAAGTTACCCTGAAATAATTTTAGACTATTTAGACCTACTTCTGTAAACATATTAATAGATGAGTACGTGTGTGTTGAGTCATATGCATAAATATACCCAGCCAGAGTGGCTGGCTTCCAGGCATACAGACTACATCCACATACAACTGTTCATGCGAGGGGCATGGTATGAAGGGCAGAACTGCACTTCTATCCTATCTGGTGTTATAAATCCAAGCTGAATTATAGAATAAAGACATATTGCATACCATTTAAGGTGCCAAAAAATCAGAAATTCCTCAAGGTGATTTTTTTTTCCTTAGTTCTCCTTTTCAAAATGCCTTGTCCAGTAAATGTGCTTGGATTGTGTATTTAGCTGTAATAAAAGCAGATTCTAACACACCACTGGGTCTTCACTAATGCTTTATGCCTTGGCAGGTGCATTGTAAAACAAGAGAAGTATTGGCCCCCAAAATAAATCTTTACTTTCTAAAGTGATTCTAGGGTTGATTCTTCAAATAGGGCAATCAAAATTTTAAATTAAATCTGTTTTGTTTTGAATGAAAAGCTGTATTTTGGCATTACTGCTGGAAGACAAACTTCCTATCTTGCCCTTATGGCATTCTTAACTTTATAACCTACCTCTTAAAGAACTTTGTAATTTGATATGGGTATCTGAAAGCTCTCTTTATTGCCTGTAGTTCTTGCTATAGTTTCAGTTTCACGGCTAAAAAGAATATAATCTCTAACTACACTTTTGTTTTTACTGCCCTGTTTTATCAGACAAACTGCCATTTTACACCCTGTTAAGGAAGCAAGGTGAGAAGCAAGTCACATTATACTGTTGACAAGGAAGATAAGAATATTATTTACCTTGACATTTTTTAGCAATAATATTCTTCATTTAACAGGGTAAGAGATAATGCGTATCCTACAGTGATAATGAACAGATTGAAAGGAACTTTCTTCCACATGCTGTCAACACTAGTAAAGAAACCATGTCCTACTGCAATAATTCTGTATTTGAGCCAGTTCACAATGGAGTGTTTTGGAAGAAAAGCGAGCCTCTAATTCAGTCAACTGAAGTAAACACATTTTATCTGTGCAGTGCACTGAACCACAGACAACTTCTTTAGGTGACTAAAGGATGTAGGGTTTGGTTTTCTGTGGGTTATTGGTTTTTTCTTTTCCCTTGGATCTTACTCTGACCTGCAGGAAAAGGCTGCCTGAACAGGGGAGAGTATATGTCATACTGATGGTGAGTGGAACCATGAATCTGCAGAGGCTGCAGGACCCTTCAGAAATCTAATGCACTGCAAAATACTGTGTTTCAAGACAGGATGCTCTTCACGAACAAGAAAGAGAAAAGGAGCCACTGTCACTTCTTTCTTGCAGCAAAATGGCATAAACAAAGCTAGAATTGAAATTTTAGCCCATTAAGAGGAAATGGAACACACCTTTAATAAGACTGAGATGTTCAGTTTCTGTGGTGATGACTGCAAGAGAAACATCTCTTTGAAATACAGTGAAAGGTATAAAATCATTACAGATTAAACTCATTAACTGCCCCTGGAAGAAGCAATTAAACTAATTCTTATATAATTAATTTTGTTACAGTTTGTGTTACATAGTCATCTAGTTTATCAGAATGTTATTTAAAATTCTGTCCAAACAAATCTAAAAAAACCCAGCTTAGTCAGAGTCCCTCTGGGAGATTATTCCTTCTTGTTTGCCAGGCTGCTCTCCTTCTCCCCATCTCTCATTCATCCTAAAATGTTATTACTATTCTTTCTGAAGCAGCTTTAATTGAAAATTCCTCTCACTTCTTTCCCCAGCCTTTCTTTATCAAACAGTCAGAGGGCTAGGTGTATTAATAGTAGCTGCATGACTCAAGAGCTGGTAACTCAAGTGGATCCCTTTGCACTGAGCTTTGCTGTTTGGCCATGCTGGCTATGTTCCCACCAAGCTCAGGAAGCACCCTGTAAACAAAAAATAAACTACAAAAGCAGAGAGTGAGCTGGCACTGCTACAACGTCTCCATCCTTCAGGATTCTCCTTACTGCTGTTTTCTTCTCCATTCCTGTTGGGATTGTATATGAAAAAATGAAAATATGTATATGGAAAAAAAGAGGGTGGGGTGTGTGTGTGTGTCCCCCATCCTCCACTGTAACTCCCCCACCTGAGTGACGAAAAAGGAGCAAGTGCCTCATCAACTGCAACAACTGCTCTCTATAACTACCTGAAAGGAGGATGGAGTAAGGAGGTGGCTAGTGTCTTCTCCCAAGTAACAAATGATAGGACAAGAGGTAACGGCCTCAAGCTGCACCAGGAGAAGTTCGGACTGATTAGGAATAATTTCTTCACCGAAAGGGTGATGAGACATTGGAACAGGCTGCGCAGGGCAGTGGTGGAATTGCCAGATCTGGGAATGTTCGAAAACCGTGCAGATGAGGCCCTTAGTGACATGGTTCAGTGGTGGTCTTGGCAGCCCTGGCGTAACGGCTGACCTGATGGTTGGACTCGATGATCTTACAGATCTTTTCCCACGTAGTTGATTCCATGACATGGAAGAGAACAGCACTCTCCACTCGAACTGCATTCTGCACTTTTTCTTAAGGCTTCCCGTTGCTCCAGAGCTCTGTCAGCCTCAGCCTCGCAGTTCCCAGGTCACCCCCGAACCCCGTCCTGCCTGCTGCTCCCCATCGGTGACGCCACGGGCTCCCTGCACCGTATCTGCAGAATCACCTGCCAGAGCCTATAGCATCGTACCGCACTCTCCAGCACACACGCTCACGTTTTCCTCCCCAGACAAAAAGGACACAGTACTTCCTCACGGAGCTTCAAATGGAAGACATCCACGCTACCAACTGCCTCCCTTATCCGCGATCAGGCTTTACTGACGCTTTCCCTGTCTGACCCGCTGTGCTAACCGAAGGGCTCTTTTTCTCCTCATCTCCTGACTTACGCGAATGACGACTGAGCAGCTATTATAAGTAAACACGTGCGGGCAGAGCCGGGTTCAGGAGGCTCCCGCGGGACGCTCGCTCCCCAAGCACCAGCTTAGCCCCAGCGTGCAGAACGCTGCCAAAGAGCTCTGGGTAGGCCTCGGTACCACCATGCCCTGCCGGCGCCTCGCAGACCGTGCTTTTCCCGCTACCCTCCCTCCTCCCCAGCAGCCCCCCTCACGGCTTTCGCACCGCTGCCGAAGCGAGCACGGCTCCTTCCGCGCCCGCGGACCACTCACACCACCAACCCCCGCGCCCCTCCGCCGGTGCCGGCACTACGAGCACGGGTTTCACGCCGCCTGTGGCGCAGGCCTGGTTGCGCCGCGCATGAGCGGGCGCAGGAGCAACATCTGAGGGGGGGGAAAATCTGAGCGGCGGCGCCGCCGCCATATTGCGGATCTGTCAGCCGCCGCCACACTTGGCGCCTCGTCCCCGGCGGCGCCGCGAGCGGCACGGCACGGCCCCCGCAGCGCCTCCTGCCCCGCTGCGAGGGGGTGCAGCGCGGCGGGGGGGGGAGAGGGGTGTGTGGATACACACCTCTCTGCCCCGCCCCGTGAGGAGCGGAGAGCGCAGTGCCCAGCACCGACCCCAGGGTCTCGTCCCCCACTCCTTACTCCGCTGCGCAGCGCTCTCGGGGGAGCGGAGCCCCAGGTGAGGCGGGGCGCGGGGAGCGGCCGCACTGGCCCCGTAGGGCGCCGTGGCGAGCGAAGCGCGGGCGGCTGTGAGGGGAGAGAGGGGGCGTCGGGCCACGGGGGCCGCTCCTCTTCCGCGCCGGCAGCGGCCCGAGGCGGGAGCCCGCCCGCAGCCCTCGGGGGCGGTGGACACCGGCGCGCAGTGAGGAGACTTGTTGCGGCGGCGGTGCAGGGCGCCGATCGGGTCCGGGGCTCAGCGTCCGCCGCCGCCTGGTAGGGGGCCCCGGCTCGCCGAGCCCCCGCTGCCGATGAGGGGGTTGCGGGCGCTTTGTTGGGGAAGCCCCGGGAGCGCGCCCCGGTGTGCCCGAGCAGCGCAGCCCCCGCTGCATTATTCATGTCCCCGAGCGTCGCGGCTCTTGAGGTTACCGTAGACATGTGGCAGTCGGGTCGGGCAGCTGACTGTGGCGGTGTGGCAGAATAATAAGGAATTACTTCATAAACAAGTGCTGCGAAGCATCTGTTGCTGTCTATTGTTTTCAACAAATGCACAGTTTTAGAGTCCTTAAATACTCACCGACGTAATGGGCACAGCGGCCCTGAATGAGCCTTTGTGCATTGTTTTTTTTCTTTGAATGGATTAATGTTTTCTACAAGTCGTGGGCATTTGTAATTAACCTCGCTGCTTAAAGCCTAGCACAGATAAGGGGCTTTAGTTTCAACTTTGTGGCATTCACTTCTGCCAGTTTTCTTCATTTGAACGTGAAAAAAACCCAACCAACTCTGGACTTTATGCCAGCCCCAGCTAATCACATCAGTTGCAAGGTGCTATTAAGCCTTTCCAGTATATGTAACACCCTAAACAAGTATTTCATGTTCCTTTTTCTGGTACAGGCTTTTAAAAAGTTGTGTTTTTTTTTTTTTAACTGAATTATGGGAGTGGCAGTCCCGAGTTTTAATTAATTCTGTCTTTGTGACTTGTTTGTGTCAAGCCTCAGACATGTCTGTGCATCTTAGTCTGGTTTGCTATCATCAGAAGTGCTTGTCATCGTGTTTAGGTCGCAGAAATGTTTTGAGGATGCATGCGTCTGCAGCACCTCACAAACCCAGGGATCACAGAAATACCTTTGTTGCTGTCAGCTCTTACACAGTGTTGGCACGGTGCTGCTGGGCAATACCTGTTGTGAGGGAAGACGTGGAGTTGGTGTACAGTAACATTATGGCTGCTGTGATGAGGTAGTTTTCTTGATCGTTAAAGATAAGAGAAAGTAGTAACTGTTTATTGGATTATTAACTTACCAATTTTGATCTATTGATTTAGCATAAGAGAGGCCATGAGAAAAATAAAGTACAAGTGAATGCAATGTTCCCAGATAGGCAGCCTCCCAGCAAATGGCAATTGCAAGGCAGTGGCATATTTCCAAGCTTTGTGCCAAAGTGACACAGCTCTTCTGTCAGACTGGGAGACCAGAGAGCAAAAGTACAACAAACAGCTTTAGAAAACACATGGAAAATGGCATGGTGTGACATGTCAGGAGCTGTCCAGAGAGTTTTCCTTGAATGCTGACTGAAAGAAACAGTGTAAAATTGTTAGGAGAGATGACAAAAAGAATTCTGGCCTGTTTCTGCCATTGCAGAAGAGAGAATTGCAGGGCTTGATAAATTGCCAGAAAAAAAGTTGGTTCACAGAAAACTAGGTAAAGCCATAAAGAGAGAATGTGGATCCACCTACAAGATGCAAAATTAGAGGGGTAAGAAGTGCAGAAGTTATGATATTAGAAGGCATTTCTTGTTAAAGTTACTTTAGCCATTGCCAGGATAAGTATGTGGCCTTTCTTCAGCATTCTTGCTCTGTTTTTTGAGAAGGGGTACTTCTCTTGGCAGAGGTAAAGAGGGAAGTTAAGGTATTACTACTTTCTATTGGATGTGTTGAATACATCAAAGCTGTCCTGTTAACTTTGTGTTGCATTAGGAGTCTGTGGGAGTAGGGGAAAGGGAGGATTTTCAAGTCTGTAGATGTAAACAAAGCTTTATACAAACATCTGAAGAAAGTCCTGATTGTTGAATGATACTGATCCATTAAAGCAGCACTCTGTGTATCTTGCATGCTCAGCAAGTTTACTTCAGAGCTGAAGGGGCCTAGGTAAACTTTTTTCTTTTCAACATTGAAGGGCTGCATCTGTGGGTTAACTTTACCGGGAGGCTAATTCTTAACTGTGCTTTGAATTTAAAAGCTTCTTTTCCTTTCCGTTTTAGATGTTTATTGAGCACTCTGTGAAATGAAACCTTCAAGTCATGTAGTACAAGGAAAAACAAATATTACATTGGCCCCAAAAGGGAGTTAATAATCTTTACACTAGAACATTTTGATTTAAGAACACTAGGTAGTATATATGGAGACTTCAGGTTTATAAGTTACCTTTGTCCTATAGAGCCAGTTCTAAGAGACTTAACAGCATCATTTAGAAGATAGAAGACATGGTTTTGAAATGGGATATATGCAGAATTTTGGTTATGTCATGATTCTTTGTTAACTGAATTTTTAGAGAAATATTTATTTCACTTTGAAACAGCAGAGAACCTGCACCAGTCACACTCCTTAATTTCCATTTTTGCTGGTATATCGGATGTACATGGGAAGGATGGCATGCCTGTCATTGTAGGACTCCTCAAAATATTAGAGTTATTTTAAGTAGTGCAGTTGTGGGTACTTTGAAGCTAAAACTTGAAGTCAAGGTTACTAAACTTAATAAATATTAACTGTATGTAAATTGTATAGCACAGCTATAGCATACCAGTTTGTTAACTGGTAAAACTGCAAATATGGCATGAATATTTTGGCTGGTCTGTGTTGCTTTTTGTTTAACTACAGTGTTGGCAACTGCCAAGCTTTCATTTGTTCTTCTGAAATTCTCAGGAACTCCAGTTTAGAAGGAACACTTCACTCTTCAAAATAAATTAACTATAAATATGTTTAGTGTGTAACAATTTACAGGTTGTATTGCATTTATTTTTCAAAGAGACAGCAAGCCTGTATCAAGTATTTCAGGGAAGGGAGGATTGGGGAAAATGGTTGTTTTTAAGAAGGTAAAGATACAATACTCAAATAGTATGTAAAACTGCATGTGATATCTAGCACTCATCGAATCTCAATTATTGCATGTTACTTATGGGATTCAGCTCTTTTTCTTATTTTTCTTTTTTTTTTTTTTTTTTTTTTTTTAAATTTGTGAGCTAGATGGCTTGTTTTGGTGTCCCTCCATCCCCCCACCCCCCGGTTTGCTTGCATCCCAGACAGCCTCTCTGTCAGTCTGAAAAAGATGTATGCAGAAGTAAAGTCTGTGACAAATGAACGTCGTTATTGGACTGCAGCGAGTGTGTCATTAGGGAGCTGTTCGTGTAGAAGGTTGCCCTGCAGGCATTCACAGGCTGCTCTGGAGCAGAGGCGTTCTTTTAGAAAGCTTGAGACCAGTTAGTCAGGTACATTGGCCTGTAAGTTGTCTACTGCTGCCAAAGAGCTAAAACTTTCAGGTATCACAAAAACATGCAATGATATAAAACTTTGAAAAGAAAAAGAATAATAATTTTAAGTAAGCTCCTGTAAATGAGTGAGTTATATTGCTGTGGCTGAAGGTCTGTTGTTCCTGTCATCTCTATGTAGGAAAAGAGAGACTGAAGCTCTTGCTAGAGCTTAGAAGGCACACTGCTGAAGAGATGGCTTCTGTGAGATGTCAGATGGGGATCCCGCTTTTGAGGGTTGGTTCTGCGCCAGCTGGGCAGCCTGCTCAAGCCTTCTGCCTCTTGTCCCATCCTCACCTGACCTCAGCCCCATGGCTGTGTATGAATGTCTCCTTTGAAACCAGCTGCTGCATAAACTATTTGACAGAATTTTGGCATGAAGCATTTTATTCACCATCGTCTTGCGAAGAAAGCTTTGTCATCTTTCAACAATTGCTTTATTTGTTGGCTTCTGTGTCATAACTGGCAACATGGATAATACTGATCTAAAAATCCTAACTGCCTTGTAGTGAAATGAGCTGAAATCTTAGCTCTTTGTTTCAAGAGAATTCTTTATGTTCTGGATGATTTTTTTGTTTGCTTGTGTTGTGGAGCCTGCTGATGTTTTGGTGATTTGGTCCAGAGTCCAGATACTGCATGTGCTGTTAAGGTCTCAAGGGCTGGAGTGTTACAGCAGTAGGAACTCTGCAAAGTTGCAAGCCTACTAATCCTGATTTGGAAGAGGCACCTTTGGGAATCGAAATACCAAAGTGATGAGCCTTTATGTCTAGTAGGTCACAAACTGGTTTCAGAATGAGGGAAGTGACAGGGCTGTCATTCCCAATCCCAGCTGACTGGGTTGTTTTACTTGCAGGGCCATTTCATGTGAGTGTTAAGATTAGGTAATTAATTGTTTCAAAGATAAAAATTTAGTGAAACTGATAAGGTTTCATCCACTAAATATGAATTTGTTGGAAATGTGTAAGTAGCAGACATGAACTCTGACTCCAGTAATGACAGGGAGATGTACAATATTTTGGCAGTGATTTTGATATTTCTGGCAGTGATTTTGGGTTTCTTTTGGCCAAATATTTTCCTTATATTTGTTTTGGTTTTGGTGTTAGCGGATGCCAGTAACTGGGAAAGATAGGGTGTTATTTTTCTATTAGCCGCTTATTTTAGTTCAACTTTTGCACAATTTTAACATCTGTGAACTTGATTTTTATATTCATATAATACTTCGTTGTAATGCTTCTGTGTGAATATACTCTTTAGAAGTTGCATAATATTTTTAGTATGAAGGCACATAGGCATTGGCTGTTTTCTGCATTATATATAAAATGGATACCATGGCCCATGAGTTTAAGTTGTTTGATTTTTATTTTTTTCCATTATAATATGGCACAAGGTCTCTATGATCTGACATAGAAACAAATTCAACACAGTTGCCTCTAAATTTATCAGATTTCTTTCTTTTTTTAAAAAATAAATGTTAAAATTTTATTTATTTACTGATTTATCATAGGAATAGCTATTACAGCAAGCACTTCAATAAAAAAATATCTTGGCTGTTAATTCCCCCCCCCCCCTTTTTTTTTTTCTTGTTGCCCATGTACTGTGATAATTTATTAGGCCTATGGGGTCTGTGGGGCTGACAGGCTTCAGTTCTGTTGAGTTTTGCACAAAGATTCTTACTTTTAGCTTACAGCTTTGTTTTATTGCATACAAACAATTCTGTAAACTCATTTAAATTGCATGTCTACCAGTTGTGATTTGATGGCAGATTTAATGTATAAAACTTTGTAGTCACAGCTTAGATTTTAAAAATTACTTTAGGGTTTTAATATATTTTCCAAATACGTTTTTATTAATTTAATTAATATATGTTTCAAATAAGTAATTTAGAATTGGTTGGTAGTAGTTTAACAAACTATTTGGGTAAAACCCAAAGCAGTAAGTTGGGATGGAAGAATTTGCAGTGCCAGAATGTATGAGGGTCTGACAGTCATTTTGGAAAGTGATTGACATGGTCTCCCTTAAAGACCCCAGGGAGTAATCACTTGATAACACAGATCTCGGCCTTGTGCCATATGTTGGCATTTGGCTTCTGGAGACTGGACTTCTTATCAGTCATCTTACCATGGCCCTTCTTTTCAATGCTAATATAACTGTAGGCACATAAGAATAGTTATGCTACTTAATATTCCTTTTAGTACTGTTTGCTTGGCACGCTTATAAAATGTGCATGAGAATCTAATTTAGCTTTTGCATCGTTAATTAACTGAGTCTTAACTCTAGGGCTTCAATTTGCGTTCAGTTTTGCAAGCAGTGAGCCTCTGCTGTCAAAAAGGTGAACACAGGGATTACTACAGCTCAGAATCCTGCTTACTGTTAGCAGATATTAGAGTCAAGCTTGGTTTACGTTTTACTTTCTTTCCAATTTTTTCTGAGGAGTACATTAGGGAAAGGGAGGGGAGAGGGAGAAGCAGTCTCTTCTGTGAACTGGAAATGTGGTGTTGAATTTTATCAAAAGCCAGTGTTGTAAGCACCTATAAACCTATTCCTCCCCCGCCCCCCCCCCCCCCCCAAAAAAAGGTTTTGTGATTAAAACAAAAAAAAGAAAGGAGAGGAATTCCAGAAAAGTTGGTTTTTTTTTTTTTTTGTCAAGAGTATATTGACCAATATCTTAGAATAGTAGTCTTACTGCTGCTATCAAATACTTTAGAATATCTGCCATAATTAAATAAAAAAGAATACATCTACAGGACGTAATTGTCTTTATACTAGACAATTATTATATTATTGGTAATATTATGTATAGTTGTGCTATAGTAATTATATCATAATGAATAGAAAGATGTTGGTTTAATTCTTTTTCAGGCTGATTTTTCATTAAATGAAACTTGTTCTGTATCTGCATTATACCGTTAGATATGTACGTAATCTTTAGTCTTAACATTAATTTTTCTTTACCAGCAAACAAAACTGATGCTTTTTAAATTCTGTTTTCACCCTTTATCTCTTTTTTTCTAGCCCTTTTTCTCCAGCATACCTTTACAAATTACAAAAAGAAATACAAATTAAGTGGTAGAACACCTTAGGTTGCTGTGCAAATGTTTTTAATATTTATTGTATTATTGCCAAGAAGCAAGGAAAAATAACTTTTTTGTATATATAACTGTACTTCGTATTTGCATTTTTATTTATGGATGAGAATTTATAAAAAAATTTGCTTTTAAAAATAAATCGCTCTAAATATTTTGGGGTTCCTTGTATCTTTTTTATTTATTTATTGTATTATTATTTTTTTTTAAGCACTTCTGAATTTTTTATTCATCTGTTGCAGACATGGAGTGTTATGATACTGGAATCTTGGAGTATTCTGATTAGTATGTCACTTTCTTTTTTCTTAGTGTAAGTGTAATTCCAGTTAATATTATTTTTGAAGGCAATGCCATCTTTGGTATTCTTTGCAGACCAGCAGCAGGACTGATTCATGGAAGTCCTTACTTTAAAATCATGTGAGAAGGGAACAAAGTGCTTGAGATAGAATGAATTGAAAAGGAGGCAGGATGCTGTCTACCAGTATCATGGCAAGCAGATTTTTTCAAGACATAAAGCCTTTTTTTGGAACAGAACACAATAGCAAATACCTTCATTACCACGTGGATGTAACTTACAGACTTTCTGCTTTTTTTTTCTATTTTTATTTTTTTGAAGAAAAGTTGTATTAAATGGAGCAGGGTTTTTTTTTCATGTTTTTCTTTTTCTTTTTTTTTTTTTTTTTTTACTGTGGTGTACTTGCATTTCTCTTCATTTGGGAAAAATAACCGTATCACCCCTTCAGTGAGAGAAAAGCATGCTTTTATAGATACAAAATACAGTTTCTGTGGTTTAAAACTACGTTAGGTTTTTTTCTTTGTTTTCATGATGTTTCAAGTTTGACTAGAGTTGACAGATTAAATTGCAGCTTTGGAGTTCCTTGTATGAATTTTATTTCCTAGTAAATAATGGTAAAGGTTTTTGATACTAGAAGATGTCTGATACCAAAAGCTTTTAAAAGAATTTGTAGCAGTTGGGGAACTGTTGTCTCTTTTTTCTAACATTAGTGGATTCATATTTTACAAAAACTAGAAAAGAGGCTACTGCTCAGGCACCTGTAGACTGGTACTGGCTTAGTTGCCTTTTATATATGGCATCTACTGAAAAGTGCATTTTGTACATGTAAAACACTTGTTTACCTGTCATGGAATTTGTGCTATTTGCTGTGATGTTTTGATTAATTTAAAAACAACCCTTTCAATTTTGTTTTTGGCAGAAGAGGACAAAGCATTTGTAGAAGACTTAAGTGGACAAGGGACTAAAGCAAACAAGAAAAATGCCGAAACCAGTAAGTAGCTGTTTTTTTCACTCATCTAAAAATCTTAACGGGGTTTTCATGTTTTAGAGTTGTGATCTTATAACCGTTGTAGTTGTTTTGACTCTGCCCTTTCTAGATTTCATAAGATCTAATAACGTACAGTTGGAGTTGAGGTAGTTTAATACCAACGTGGAAAAAAGATCAAGAAAGCTTGGTAATGCAAGTTACATGGAGCGTTACTTAGAGATGGGGCAGTACTTACAAACCACAATGAACTTGGAGCCCATTTGGCTGGCAGGAGGAATGACTTTTCAAGAATTGTTGACTTTGAGATGAGATGACATACAGTGGTTAATGGAGGCATTATTAGAGCCTGACTCAATGTCTGTGAGAATCCGTGGAAGAACTTGCTGCAGGATTTGTCAGGGGAAGCCAGAACATGTGTAAAGTGTCTGTGACTACCACATAGGTGGTAGTTTTACCATGGTAGAGGGTGAAACCTAGAAGGTAAGTGTTAAAGGGAGGAAATAAACTGTTTGTGGTCTCCTATTCATCTCACTTCATCTTCAATTTTCTATCCAGGGGAAAAAAAGAAAAAGCCCAAACCTCAAGCTTTTTTGTTGATAATAGTTCTAGAATTCTTTGAAGAGATAATTGTTCAGCAGCTTGATTATTTTGCTGTTGATGTAATATTGGTTGCTCAGGATTTCATCTGCCATGTGTTAAGTAACTTTTGGTTGTCTCTTCTCCGTGTATCCAGTGAGCAAAGCATTCAGAAAAGGAACTGAATTGTCAGGACAGGTTATTTCTTTTCAACTCGATTGGTTTGTGTAATAGCCTTCGGGCTTTCTTGGTTTTCTGATGTTTCATTGAGGTAGGAGATTATGAGCAGGGCAGCAGATCTGTTACTAAGAATAAACATGTCTTTGTGCATTGTGTGTAGACATATTCATACTTATACACAGAACCCGAACTATTCCATGATTCTGTGTATAGAAAGTTTTTGCTTTTAATCAGAAATTATCGTTATAAATAATCTGTATTGCATGCCAGCATTTGGAACTGTTACAGCTTACTAACTAATGTGAGCATGGCCCTGTCGAAGGGCTAGCTGAGATTTGCTCTTGAACTACTGTCCAAATGGCCATACAGTATAGTTTCCATAATTTCCTCTTTTCTCACTTGTGGATTGGGGACGGTATCTTGGCACTTCCTGAAGTTGGAGATAGTTACTTGTATTCTGCCCTTTTCTTACAGAAAGCTGCGCTATTAAGGACAGGAAAATGTATTTGCAGCATACTGTTTTCTGACCTTTTTGATTCCTGGCTATGATAATTGAATAGTATCTTTGATAGAGGTTCTCAACTGGAAAACTATATTTTAAGACTGAAGCATAAAGTCACTGTGAGCACATGTGTTTCCTGAAGCTCCCAACTCCATGGTGCTGCAGAGCAATGAGGTCTCAGAAGTGATGACTAAAAGAAAGATGGCCTGAGTGAGGTTATTTCTTTTTAATTCCTGTGATTGGAACCATGAAAATTTAGGCAGGCAGGGTTCCCTCTATTTTTAGGACCTGAGAAAATCATAGGAAATGCAGTTTTGCAGTTGTTCAGAAGAAAAGCAGCATCTTTAAAACTGAGATAGCAGAGATGTTGGAAGAGCTCACAATCCACCCTAGGAATGGAAATTTGCTACCAAATCTTAGGAGAGAAGCTGGACTCATGCCGAAGATGAGATAATTTTTTTTCCTTTTATGAGTGGCTTTTTATATAAGGAGTTCTCATGTGCTGGGATGTTCTTGTATGTCTCCTGGTAAAATAGGCACATGTGAGATCTTGGAAGCTAAATTAAAGAAACCATTAAAAAATGAAATTAAATTAATTATGTTTCTTGGAAAATGTCATATGGATTTCTTCCTGTAAACTCCAGGTTGCTATAATTATAATTAGTAATCAGTGAATGAAGAAGTAGTATATGTCAAAGGTTAAGTAATTTTATCTGTAAAAATGAAACCTCAGATTTTGCTCTGGTTGCCTCTTCTGAATGCTAGATCTTCAGGAGCTTTTCCCCTATTTTTTTTCCTTGCTGCTGTAATCAAAGCTGGAGCTCCCAGAGCTGGAGCTCCCAAAACTGGAGTTCTGTTTTCAGTGTGTTTAGTTCTCTGCTTGCTGAAGAATAGAATATTTGTTCAATCTTATTTTTGATGTTTTCTTCCTAAAAGAACAGACAGAATGTTTCTCAGCTGTATGCCTTTAGCCAGGATCTACCCCAAAAATAGAAACATAGAAACTAAAAATAGACCTCATTAGTTATGTAACGGTTAATCATTTCATAGGCTAAGAAGATTAGGTTTAATTGTCTGAAATATTAGTTACATTTATAGGGTGTATGAGGAGTTAAAATTGCCAGCTGTTTTTGCTGGTAGTTTGCAGCATTTTTGCACAAGGCAGCAAGGCATAAAGGAGAAGGCATTGTACTGGGTAGTAGTGGGTAGATGTCAAAGCTACTAAGATTAAAAAAGAAGTCTTTTTTTTTTTTATTTTTTTAGGCTGAACATTGTACAATATGATATTGTTATATTTAAAATTTGAATTAATATGTACGAGATCAAGTTAATTTCTCTACAGTGGTTGAATTAGAATACTGTAAAATTACTTTTTTCAGTGAGTTGTTTCCTTGTTGGTTTACAGGAAAATCTGAGATGTTTAATGCAGTATTTGAATTATGGTTTGAATAGATTATTTGTTTCTGCAGCATAAATAGACCACTGATGTCAGTTTGGAGGGCTGTTTTCCTCTGGTTCCTCTATTAGTAAAATCTCTTTGCCATTATTCTGTAGCCTTCTGTTCCTGATGCTGTTTAATCCTTATCTTTTTACCTTATCTTCATTAACTTTTCTCTTACATCTCTTCCAATGTCTGCTTTGAGGTTGATATTCAGAGTGTGGTATGTGTATTTGTACTGTGTGTAAAACAGTGGGGCCAACACATTGCTACTCCCTGACACAGATTATTTAATATGCAAATTTAATACAGTTATCAGCCGCACTAATGTGAAGAAACCTTTTTTTGCCATATGAAATTTCCTTATACCTGACAATTGGGCTGTTTTTTTGTGGCTTTTACATGTGACTAATTCACTCTGTGCTTGTCAAAGCAAAACCTCTTCCATGTAATTTGAAATGGCTTTCTTTCTAATATTGATACCTTCTCAGTTTTGGGCTTCCTGATGAAAGGTGAAGCACCACAATGAACATCTGCACACAATGGCTGAAATACAATAATAGGAAGTGTTAGACTATTAAGCTATATTTTTTCAAGTCTTAAAACAGTGAAAGAATACAACAAAAGTATAATTTCATATAAAATGTGTGCTTTTAATATGTGTACATGGATGTTTATTGCTCCATATATCTGCATTGACTGTATTCTTCATTGATTTTGATAAATTCCTCCACAGATAAATTACTTCAGATTTTTTGTATTATTACTTTTTTTTTTTTTTTAATAAATACTATTTTGTGAGCTGTGGCAAATGTCCTCATAACCCATTAGCAACATGTTATCAAAACTTCAGTTGCTCCCTTCACAAAAATAACATGCATGTAGGTATGTATTCTTCTCTTGACCATGCTAAAGTAATTTGAACCAACTCTGGTAAAATACAGGTGAACTCAGACTGCTAGTTCTGATGCCAAGGACCTGGGCAAGTGTTAAAAGTGGTCCTATGTGAACCTCATGAGATTCAACAAGGCCAAGTGCAAGGTCCTGCACCTGTGTTGGGGCAAACCCTGGTATCAATATAGGCTGAGAGGGATGAAGGGATTGAGAGCAGGCTTGTGGAGAAGGACTTGGTTGTACTGGTGGATGAAAACCTGGACATGAGCTGGTAGTGTGTGCTCACAGCCCAGAAACCAACTGTATCCTGGGCTGCATCAAAAGGAGCATGTCTGCCAGGTCAAGGGAGGTGATTCTGCCCTGCTGCTCTGCTCTGGTGAGACCCCCCACTGCAATCCTGTGTTCAGCTCTGGAGTTTTCAGCACAGGAAAAGACGTGGATCTGTTGGAGAGGGTCCATAGGAGAATCACAGAAGCGCCCTGAGGGCTCAAGCACCTTCCCTATAAGGACAGTCTGGAGAGTTGGGGTTGTTCAGTCTGGAGAAGAGAAGGCTCCTGGGAGACCTTAGGGCAGCCTTCAGTACCTAAAGGGGGCCTAGAAGAAAGATGGGGGATAGACTTTTTAGCAGGGCCTGCTGTGATAGGACAAAGGGAAATAGTTTTAAATTGACTTTTCCTGTTTCCCATTTTTGGCAGTTCTTAGTGGATTTATTTTCACCCTTCGAGATTAATCACCGTGAGGTGTAGGACCTTCTTGCTGCCAGCACCACAGCAGAGGTCTTAATCCAGGCAGGGACCTCCAAGCTGCCTCTGCGTTGCTGCTGTACCCCACATGCTCCCTCCACACCTCTGGCTCACCACATGGACCTTGACTGAGGATTTATAAAGTCTAAGTTACTCAGTTACTAAGACTGCAACAGCATTTTTAAGTGTTTCCCAGACATGACTACCATGGTATTTTAGTATTTAATATGTGGCTAGAGACATCTAGTTCTGTAATTAGCAGTATAAACTGTTACATTGTGGCACCAAAGATAATGTTTGCATATAGCCAGTTTTAAACTTCAGGAAAAAGGGATGCTTTCTCAGGCATACTTCTGTGAATTGGAGAATCATCTACAGAGTTTCTTGATTAGTTTACCAGAGCAGGATCCATAAAAGACATCTGCTCAAGAGTTCAGTCAAAATTATGTATGAATATACCGAATGAGACTAGTTGCAGTTCTTACCCTGAGCCCTTGCACAGCAGAGGAGGATTTGTGTTGCAGTTGAGCAGCTGAAGGTATTGGCTATATCTTGCCTAGTGCTTTGTCATAGTTCCCGAAGGTTGAAGTAAGATGTGTGATCCTGGTGAGAGCAAGATTGAAAAGCAGGCATTATATGGGTCTTGTGATACGAGCAGTGGTAGCCTTCCAGCGCTTGCTTCAGGAAACCTTCATCTGTTTCTCTTGTCACCATTGCAAGAGCTCCTTCCCATTTCCATATTAATGTGGTAAAGTTGGTTCAGAGTACTTACGTTCAGATTAGTGTCTGTCTTCCCAATTTGTGGTTCAAATAATCTCCCTCCTTCACCAATGTTACATTAGAAGTGTTGCTTCAAAGTAGCTGAATACCCAGGAGCAGGTTACATGAGTGGCAGTCCATTAATTTACTGGGCCTTCTTTCTCTGCTTGTCTTCTCAATTCCCTGCCTTTTTATAATGTGGAAACTTCCCTCATGACTCTTATTAATGCAGTTGATTAGCTTTATTTTACAGACAGCATCACTGACAGCAGGGGTTTGATTTTGTTGAGAGGGTGCTGTGTGATTGAGTTTTAGGTAAGTAAACCTTGTGGGCTCAGTCTCAGGCTTTGCCAAAAGTAACCTTCTTATTTTCCAATGCTAGAAATAACTGAAGCTGTGAAACAATGTTACAAGGTAGTAAAAGCGTGGTGTTTGCACGCCAGAAAATCTTCAGTCAGTCCAAATGCCTTCAAAAGGAAAATACCAAGTGTAGTGTTAACCTTGTGAGTCTCTTAACTCAGAAAAGGTAACATTTTAATATTGCTATCATTGAATTTGTGACTTTCTTGGAAGAGCCAGAAGTGTTAGATATGAATTAGCAATTGGGCTGTTAATCAGAAGCCAGTACTCCTGATACGTATTTGTATCTATTGCAGATGCAGCAGCTGTGTATTCAGATTTTATTTGAGGCAGTAACATCCAGAAGTGACCAGAATCCAGACTGTGCTGAGCTTGCCTCTCTATTATATCTGTTATTGTACTGTTTGAATATTTTAGTTCTTGTGAAGAATATAGACTTACATGTAGTAATTCTTGTATTTATAGACTATGACATTTATTATAAGGATATGTGGGAATTTGCTGCTGCAACTCTTTAGGAACTTGAGTGCTGCAGTTAGTTGGACTTGCTGTGCTTTGTAGATCTCCTTCGATGCTGCTTGTTTTGGCAGTGGTGCTGTTAAATGACAGTCTTTGGTATTTAATAAAGTTACATTTTAGCCATATCCTTTGTAACTTGCTTTAGGGCAGCTACAAGCAAGCAAGCTTCTTTTATAAAATTGAAAAGCTGCTTTAGCAAATTAACTTATTAAGGGGTGACCCCCAAGTCAACCCAGTGGGCAGCTGGCAGGTTTTTTTTAACAGACTTGTTTAAAATGGGTTGTTCTATTAGAGAATAAGCATTTTTTTTTTTTTCTTCTCAATATGAGTAGAGTAAGAGAATGTACAGAAGACACCTCTTGGTCCTCTTCCTGACACACACTCTAATTTATTTATTTTTTCCATCAAAGTTTACTGTCTTCTACTCCAAAGCCTTCAACTCTTGTTCTTTATCAGTGCTTGCACACAAAAACAGTTTGCTAACCTCCACTGTCTTCCCTGCTTGCAGGTCTATAACCTAGAGGTCCTCAGACTCCCACTACTCTTGTCGTGTATCCAGCTTATGGCCAAAGTCATTTACATTGACACTAAAGAAAGGAGTGAACAAGTATAATCTGTTGCAGAGGGAAACTTCTATTCAGTTTTCTTTTTTCACCTTAGATTTCCCTTCTGTATTTGTTTCTTGCAGAGACTTTTGCAGGCTCTCACTTCTCAAAGTATTCCACCTGGTGGCAAAATTATGGAAAATAGTCAGTGGAAATAGTTTACACAGTCATAGATTAAGTAGTGTAGGAACCTGTAATACAAGTCCTAATTTATTCCTGCTCCATATTTTATAGTAGCGAGAAAGAAATTAGAGTATATCTGTGTGCCTTCAGTTTCCTGTTTCTGGGGTTTGCATTTATAGCAAAGTAGATTTGAACTTTAACACTTTGTATTCCTATTCACTAAAGATAAATAAAATGTGATATCTTGCCAGTAGGAACAGTAAGCCACTTCTCACTTCTGATAGTGGGAAGACAGAACAGTGCATTTAATACTTTGCTTCGTTTAATGAGAATTCTCACTTCTGTGTGTAACAGTTGAAGACAAATCGGAACAGACTGTTGTACTTCAAGTAAGATAGGCTTCCAGTTATCTCCTAGAGTATTTAACTGCTTGTTTTAGAACAAATAAAAGCAAGGATCGTCAAGAGTCATCTAGAAAATGGTCCTCTTATTTTCCTAGGAAAAGGAAGAAGTTTATTGTATAGATGTGAGTTTTCAGTCTTGTAGTAAAGTATTGAAAGGGATCAGTATTAAGGGCAGCTAGTTTCTATATAGTTCCTCTTCCACTGATGAAAAACTTGTTTAGTAGTTTGTCCTGAGATGTGAAAGTTCTGGTTCTGTATACTTTAAGATTGCCGAACCTCTTTATTTTAGAAATGGCAGGGCAGGAGGCTGCTTGTCTTTTTATGTATAAAGACCTTAAAACGATATGTGTATGACTAGGAACTTTTACATGAAGCCCACTGAAAGATAGTGCCCAGTAGCTGAATGTCCCAGTGTTCTCTGAGTGCTAAGAAGTCATGTCAGTTATCCCATTAAACTGATTTTGAACTTTGTTCCCTGCTTTGACCTTCAAACCTAGTGTTAAATATTATCCTGAGTATGCTTTAATACTAAATAAAGGATGAGATTTTTTTGTTTCGGATTCAAATTTTTCATTTTTATATCTGCTGTGTTCTGTGTGGATGTAAGGCCATTAAAATTGTTGAATTTACTTACCATATGTTATTTTTTACAGGCTAATCACAGAATGTAGAAGCATGATACTGTTACAGTATGATTTTAAATATTTTTCTATTTTCTGTAGATCAATGTCAGAGTAACCACAATGGATGCAGAGCTGGAATTTGCCATCCAGCCCAGTACAACAGGCAAGCAGCTCTTTGATCAGGTAACTCATTTATGTCTCTGTGTATGTATGTGTACAAGCACATAAAACTGTTGAGGGAATTAAGGCATAGTTTGAGAAAGCAGAAGTGTTTCGTGTAAAGAGTAATTTATATAGCCTTCACTATTTAATAATGAATGCAACAATAAAACTTCATTAAGGAAAGTTACCTTTTTTTTTTTTTTTTGCTTCAATGAGTGGAAGCTGAAGATACTTCTTCACATCCCAAATATTTGAGAAGTAATGTTGTCCTATGATCCAGTTTGAAATTTAAGTTAAAAAAAAGGGGGAGGGGAGAGAAAAGGCTAAGTGGAATAGCGAAAATTACGGCTTTAATGTTCTTATGGATTGCAGACCCACCAGAACTACACATTCTCCTTTGGTAGTGTGTTTTTTAGATGAATGAAAGTTCATTTGCAGTTTTTGTTTGAAATGACTGACTCTTAACAATTCTACCTCCCACCCCTTTCTGTAACATCAGTAGCAGTGTGTCTTCAGACTTTGTGACTCTTTACAAAGACCTCCTGAAGAAAAGCGCTGTCCTGCTTTTTGTCTAACCAACACCACCATCAAATAAAAAGTACAATATTCTGTGGCACATAAGCCTCAGGCTGTTACTTGTCTTTTACCAACCTTTGCTATCTTCTGACATGCTGTGTTGGGTGGGGTGACATTACGCTGTGTAATGTCTTGTGACCAGGTAATCAGGTTCAGCCACACTGGGGCATTCACGAATGGGAAACGAAGATCCAGCTCCGAATTCTTTTTCATGCTCTTTTCAGATTTCTTCCTCAATTCATTGTGTGGTGTTTGACATCTGACCAGCTCTTACAATCAACTTCTGGAAGTTTAAACTGAAAAATTGTTAGCTCAAGCAAAATCAACCTGCAGAGTTTTGTGAGAGAAGTGTTTTCAACCTAATCTTAAATTCATAGTTCCACAGAGTAACACCAACAGCTGAACTGTGTGGCAAAACCAGCATGAAACTTTCAGACAAAAGTTATGTTGTTTGTTCACAGAAAGGGAATCAAATCCCACTGTTACTGAGAGGGCTGGCCTTCAACGTTTACTGTCATGTCCACCATTTCTGCATAGACTTGTTAATTACTGAATGCAGAAAATGACCTCCATGAATTTAGCTGTTGTCTAGTGCTCCTCTACATTTTTGGTAAACAGCTTGTCCTCAGTCAGTGGTTCTTTTAAGCTTTTAACTGGTGTTTTCTGGAGTTGTTGATTTGTGTCCTGTTGTGTATGTGTTTTCATCGTCTTCATCTACTAACAGCTTTTGATGTCTCTGGCTTTATCTTTTCCATTGTGAAAATCAGTAAAGTTCTTATTTATTGCGCAAACACATTAAAAAAAATTGCTTGTATTTTAGGAGGTGTCTTAACATATTTATTGTTAGTCCTTTTGTCTGTCCTGACACTGGTCAGAATAGGCAAGAGGGAATCTCTCCTGTAGTCAACCAGTTTGGCATCTATAACTTTCCTAGAAGAGGAAAAGCCCTGTGGTGGGTATGTTTCCACACACTGGTGGTAATAGTGGGGATTATTTTATTGTTTTCAATAAGGTGTTAATACTGAGCATCAGTACCTCTGGCTTACTGTAGTTGCCATTCAGAAAGAATGGGAGCGTTGTCTCCTTTATTTCAAGCTGTACCCCGGTGTCCTTCCCAGGTATCTCCGAAACCTCTCTTAAGAACTTTCGGAAGCTAACTCAATGAAATTCTTGCTGGGTTCTCTTTATGTGTATATCTTGATTTGCCAAAAAATGTCTGTTGTTTTTCTTCTCCAAGAAGTTTTTATTGCCTATTAATAGACAAGTTGAAGTATGTGATAGTTGTGTAAATCTTTTACAGTTGTGATGAAGGCTTGCCTGAAGCTGCTTAATGGATCTTTTGAGGCAGAATCAAACTCCTAAGTTTCTCATTCTGTACTTATTTTTCATATCACGTTACTGCCATGCCTAAATGCTTATATTATCTTGGTACAAAGTTCCAGAAATGTTTTTCTCTTTCCTTTGAGCTGAGAGGCAGTGATAGATGATGGTCTTTCCTTATTTGTAGAGCCTGAAGTAAAGCAGGCTAATGTGTAAGCTGTTCTTCTAGAGTTGGTTCACAAACGTGTGTAACTGTGCATTGCAGTAGACAACTTCCCTATGTTTAAAAAATATGCAATGTGCATCCCATGTGAAGGGCCGTAGTCAGCAGGTGAGAGCAGAATGTTCTTTTGTGAGCATAAACACTTGTCTCCTTATGCCTTATGGGCAGAGCTGTTGAGCATGTGCAGTTCTTACTGCTGTCTTTTGCAGCTCAGACAGCTGATCAGGTACCAAGGATCAACTTGGACAGCTGCAAAGCAAAGAGTATTCTCAGTCATCTGATAAAGCCATAAATAGTTTGATCAGCATCATGCAGGAGATCTGTGCCAAAAGCAGCAGCAGCTCTGAAATTTCTGTGTCAGGACACCAAGTTTAATGTTACTCAGAGCCATGCTAAGAACAAGTTAATATTGCTAGTATTTCTTATGTTCTAAAGTCAGTGGTGTAGGAATTCTAGGGAAAATAACTGTGCTTACTAAAGGAATCAGGTTGCATCCATGAAAATTGTCCATTCTGTGCCCTGGAGCTTGAAGGTGAAAGGAGAGAGGAGGGAAAAAGGTACACACGTGAATGATTAAGTAATAAAACAGGTATGCAAGGCATCAGAAGTAAGTTTGCACAGCTATCTTGTGACACTTCCTAATTTTCAAAATCTTAATTTTGCAACTCGATAGTACTAATTTAAAATGGAGGAGGAGCTTTGTGTAAAATTCTGTTTACTTCATATACATCTGAATGCTTCCATAAAACAGCCTTCAGTAAACCAGCTTGCCAGCATGGCTCAACCTGGGAACATACATAAGTACTGCCATACTGGACCTTTTGGAGCCTGAGTTTAGTCATCTAATAAACTGTGGTGGACATCTCTTATTAGTTGCTTATTGAATCTATGTGGACTTTTACTGTACAAAAAAATGTGTAAGATAATTCCACAGATTCATTATACTGTGTAATAAAAGTGCTTCTTTTGCTTTGCTTTGAACCTGCTATATAATGATTTCCTTTGATTCTCTTGATTGTCAGAAATAATGAATAATCATTCTCTATTTTCCTTCTACATGCCATACCCTCATTATAGACCTATATCATATTTTTCCTTTCCTCCCTTCTCTGTCAGTAGTCTTAGTTCTCATCTTAACTAGGCCGAAAATGTTCCATGTCACCGGTCATTCTTTTCAACATTTCTGAAACCTTTCCAATTCTGCAGCATCCATTTTTAAGATGATCTAACCAGTAGATATATGTATTAAAGGTCTGAGAATACCACAGATGTGTGTAGTAATGTAACAGCTGTGTGTTTTTTCCCTTTTCAATGAGATCTTTGGTCACATAATTAAAATTATTGTCACATACAGTATTTTGTTTTTATTAAATATCATCTCTTACTGAGGTTCATCTTCCTTTATTGTTCATTCACAGATCCAGATCTTTATGGAAGTTTTTTTATGACAGATTTTGTTACATCACTTTCATCCTTTTTTGCAGATCACATGTGAAGTTGGGGTGGGAGGGGGCTTGCCTTGTCATTAACACAAGTCTGTTGTGAAAACAGTTTGGTTTTTATTTCTTTTTAACTAGCAAATCCATAAAAAGACCTTCCCTCTATTGAAGGACAGTTTTGTTTCTTTTGCCTTTGGTGAGAGACCTGATTAGAAATCTTACAGAAAATCCATGTATGGTTTGTCAGATTGTTCTTATCCCTTTTATCATTAACTTTTTGAAGATCTCAGAATATTTGAAAGAAGTTATTCGTTGTTTTATTACCTCATACTTGTCTACAAGTATTATTTTTTATTATAGTTTCATCAGTTGTCTTCTCTTGAAGTGGACTTACATGTCTGTAGGTCACTTAGAATCATAGAATAGTTAGAGTTGGAAAGGACCTTAACGTCATCTAGTTTCAACACCCCTGCCATGGGCAGGGACACCTCACACTAAACCATGTCACCCAGGGCTCTGTCCAGCCTGGCCTTGAGCACCGCTAGGGATGGAGCATTCACAACTTCCCTGGGCAACCCATTCTAGTGCCTCACCACCCTTACAGTAAAGAATTTCTTCCTTATATCCTGTCTACGCTTCCGTTTTAAGTTCCAGACATGCTTTCAGAGTCCTGTTTACTACCGCATATTCCTCAGATGCTGCTTTTGATACATGCAGTAAGCTGCACGCTCCAATTGGTAGTTTCGCAACATGGTGCTTGGGCTTATTTAAAACTCTGAGATGAATGCTTCCCTGTACCTGATGTTTTGTTATGCCTGGTTTTTGTTGTTTTTATAAAACTTTATTACTTTTCAGTTTGAGATCGTTTCTGTAGGTTCGTTACCATTTAAAAAATATCCTGTTGTGGCATGTACTGATGGTTATGGATCGTTTATCTTTAGGTGGTAAAAACTGTTGGTCTTCGTGAAGTCTGGTTTTTTGGGCTACAGTATGTGGACAGCAAAGGCTACTCAACTTGGCTGAAGCTAAATAAAAAGGTAACAATTTCCTAATATTTAGGCAAGTGTACAGTTTGAAATGTACTTTTTTTAAGGCTTTCTGCTTTATTATTGTAGGTGAGCTATAGCTGGCTTCAAATTCAGTTGCAAAGTTGCTTTCATTTGTTTTAAATGAAAAAATATAGTGTTAATTTTGGTTGTTTCTAAAAAAAAAAAAACCATGCAAAGCTGCATCAACATTTAATTTGAGTAGGATGCCATTTCCAGTACCGTGGTGATGCATACATTAGGAAAACTTACATTGATAGGATTATCCTGTTTTCATCTAGCAAAAAATAATAAGAATAAATATTTCACAGTTATGGGGAGGGGGGTATATGTGAAGTACTTGAGCTTCAAGAATTTGCGTGTACACAGCTATAGATCTTCAAACAGGGCACTAATAGTAGACTCATAAACTGCTGTTTTATGTATCTCTAGTAGGTAGATTGTAGGACAATTTTTGTTTTGTTTGTCCCCAGTAGCACTGCGCACTTTGTATCTCCCAGCTATTGGGAACCAGGTCATTTTACTTTAAATTCTATTTATGAGTTTGAATGGTCAGGTTTTATTTTAATATTGGCTGTCAGGTTATTAATGGCACTGTTTAGAATACAGAGATTATTTTTTTTTTAATTCATCCTCATCAAGAATGCCTTATTTTATCTTCAGTATTCAGAGGTAAATTACTGGGGGGTTTAGGAGCAAGTCCCACTGTCTGCATTTAATAATAATCTTTCCTTTTCCTCTGTGGTAAATCCAGCAAATTAAGCCTGCTAACCACTAAAGCTGTCTCCTAGAACTTCATATATGTCTTGTTTCATAAGCAATAATTGTAATGCTACAAATAATGTGTTAGCCCTAATGGCTTGCCTCCAGTGGTTGGAGATTACAGGATTTGGTACATTATTTGCAAAACTCAGTGAAGGTCTTAAGCAAGTGAAGTTGCTGGTGCTCTTCAGGAGTGGCAAGGGAGTGCTAATTCCTTTAATTTTGACAAGGCAGTTATCTTTTTTAAAAGAAGCTTGTAGCATTTGATTCTTAAATGCATTGTCATAAACTGGCTCTAACTTGCAAGCTACTATTTAAATGTGTGTGGTAAATACAGGAAAGATCTGATAAATTACAGAATAGATGTGCAAATAAGGTTTTATTAGGTCAAGAGCACAACTAATCGTTTACTGGCAAGATTAAAGTGAAGCACTGTGTGTAAATTAGACGGACAATAATGAAAAGTGAGCAAAACATTGAAAATTGACAGCTGAAGTGTTGAGTATAGTCCTTATGCTGCCTTATGTGCATGATTAAATGGTTGCATTATATTTACAGTTTTTGAAACTTTCTGTGAGTCAACCAAAGAGATGCATCATTTCATGCATACTGAAGAAGTTCTAGAGGGGCTATTGGTGCACATAAAATTAAATGTGTCATAAAGTGCTTGAGGAATTAGGATGTTCGAGATTTACTTTGAATGTACCTTTTTTACTTGAATGTACCTGTATTACTTGATGTTAAAATTAGTTTAATTTTGAGTGGATTTGCTTTAATCATAATCAGTGCTGAGCCCAAATGAAATGGAAATTTCTACGTAACAATGAGTTTTCATTGAAATTTTAAGAAGACACTTAAGATGACCATATCTGATTTCTTCACAAAAATCATAAGGTTTATCCATCCTAGAAAAATAATGTGATTAATGCAGTTGTTTTTTTTTTTTTTTTTTTTGTGCAGGAGCAAAGCATATATATTTACTTCAGTAGTTCAAAGATTTTTAAAAGAATCCAACTTCATACTTCACTGAAGAAATATGATATAGTTCTTGTTAAAGAAACCTAGTTAGACTCTAATTTATTACTTCCTGCAATGCATTCTTGGATGTAGTTTTGATTTTTTTTTAGTATGTATTACAACTTTTTTTCCAGATCTTTATTGTGATAAGTACAAATTCACACAAGCCCACAAAAAACCTCTTAAACAGTCTTTGAGTAGTATTTCAAAATAGTCTGATTTATCCAAGTCAGTGTACATGATTCAGTGCCATGTGAACCTTTAGTGAGTTCCGCAGTGAGGTTGTCAGGAAGTACTGGCTTTGTGTGTAGGGGAGCTAGAGAGTTCGTTACTGCTGAGTTAATTATATTTAATACACCATTTAACACTCCTTTTTTTTCTTTATTCCTCTCCTTCAGGTAACACAGCAAGATGTAAGGAAAGAAAATCCTTTGCAGTTTAAGTTCAGGGCCAAGTTTTTTCCAGAGGATGTATCTGAAGAATTAATTCAGGAAATAACTCAGAGACTTTTCTTCCTGCAAGTCAAAGAAGCAATCTTAAATGATGAAATATATTGCCCACCAGAAACTGCAGTTCTTCTGGCTTCCTATGCTGTCCAGTCCAAGTATGGAGATTACAGTAAGGAGATACATAAACTAGGCTACCTAGCCAATGACAGGCTTCTCCCTCAGCGGTGAGTGAGACTAGTTTTGCATCATCTGCTGCATTTAAACTTGATTACAGCACATTTTTTATAATTAAAATACTGAGTGATAATGTGTATTTAATGGTAGCTTTCATAAGAGTGCATGTTTTGCTAGTAAAATTTAGAGATCCTAATTTAGACTCTAAATAATAAAGAAGCATTGCAACCATAGGTTCCTTGAGAGCTATTTCCTGGCTCATCCACAAACATCTGCACAGATTTAGTTGAACAGATTTCCAAAGTACTCCAAAATGATACGATGTTTCTAGCAGCTTGCTTCTGCTAAACTCATCTCGGTGATTTCTGTATTAGTGGTTTTGGTTTTCTTCAGTTTTTGATGGTTTTGTACACTTAAATTGTAATAATTTCCTGCAAAATAATTGTGAAGTGTATTGTAGACTATATTGCAGAAAAATGCTAGCCTGGACATAAAATTTAGGAACTTGGTTGTTGTCATTGCTATTGAGTGTAGACTCATCTAATTGGTTAGGAAAAGTAAGCACTGAGATGATCATTTTGTTTCTTTATACGCAACTGAAACCCTGCTCCTGGTGTGTTTTGGCACCAAGAGAAACATTGCAATACAAATGTACAAAGTTAGACAATTTTGTTAGCACAGATGAATCCATAGAGATGTATCATGGACAGATGTGTGCTAAGTATGTTAACCTAAGTGCATCTTCAGAGAAATGAGAAACATGGAATAATTTGAGGTTTCATTAAAAGTCATATGTTTTGTCTTTGGTTTGAAAACTAAAAGTGGAGATTTGATTGTTAGTGTAACTAAGCTTGGGAAATTCGTAGCAAAAAAGCATTTCAAAAGATTGTGGTGTAGTATTGAAAGAAATGCTTCAGGTTTTTAGAAATCCTGGCTAAGAGTTTGGTTTTGGCTGTTTACTTCCTCCTTGTGACACTGAAGTCTATACTCCTTTTACCTGCAAAAATACCCTTTGTTAGGAAGACGGGGAGATGCAGAATCAGTAAAACTGCCATTACTTAATGTATGTGAGTTCACAAGTCTTGGTTTTTGCTCCATTGTGATAACAGCCTGTGAACACTGGAGTGCTTGTGCATGACAAAAATTCAAATACTTAGGATTTTTTTTTCAGTAGATAAATGTTCAGATGACTTTCCAGCATATGCTTTCAACTAGTCGTATGCCAGTATGCGCTGGGTGAGCACATAGTTTTCTGACAAATTTGCTGATGACAGGAGGCAAACCAGGAATAATTGTGTTAGAATGAATACAAAAACTAAATACTTCATAATAACACTTCAGAACAATATACAATATAATGTCAGAAATACCTACTTGTTTCCCAAAGTAGGCTTTAGCTTTGCAAAATTTTACTGATAAAGGTGACAAAATATTTGCAGTTCATGTTAATTTACAGAGTCATAGTGTTCACCTGTCAAAATTACTGAATATTTCTTGGCTTAAAAGGGTGAGCTAGGTATCCACAAGGCACCTAGTCTTTTGAATTATTCTGTTGCAGTAGTCTTTGTATACATTTCATCAGTTGTATTTTAAGAGAGAAAGGAGGGGACCAGGTGATGAGATGGCTATCACCAAAGACATTGTCAGCTTTGAGTATATCATAGAAACACAGAATCATTTGAGGTTGGAAGGAGAGCTCTAAAGATCATTTAGTCCAGTCACCCTGCTCACAGGAGAGTCACCTGATGCCCCAAGACGTTCAGTGTTTAAAAGGCATTGGACAGTGCCCTTAATAAAATACTTTAACATTTGGTCAGCCCTGAAGTGGTCAGGCAGTTGGACTAGATAACCATTGTAGGTCCCTTCCACCTGAAATATTCTATTCTAATTACAACAGGTTTCTCAAGACCTTTTCCAGTTGGGTTTTGAGTACTTGGATAGACACACTGCAACCTCTCTGGGCATCCTGTTCTAGCGTTTGACCATCCCTGCAGCAAAGAAATAAAGAATTTTGTTCAAGTGTATTTCACTTGTGCTTGTTGCCTCATGTCTTTCAACTCCAATTCAAAAAGAGGAAAATGCAAAGAATTTCTGTAGAAGTAGAAATTTTAACTCATTTTGGAAAACCCAAGTCACCATGAGGACACAGGTTGCCTGGAAAGCTTGTGTAGTCTCCCTTCTTGGAGACAGTCAAAAACTGTCTCTAGACATGGTCCTGGGCAGCTAGCTGTAGGTGATCCTGCTTGAGCAGAGGAGTGGACAAGGTAATCTTCAGAGGTCACTTCCAAACTCATCCATTCTGTGAGAGGAGCTTGGGAGCAGGGCTTTATTTTTCAAACTGTCATATGGCTACCACTGAAAAAATGCACTTCACTAGACCGAAAGAAACACTGCATTCATATCTTCTACAATACTCAGTCTATTCCCTATTGTACTTTGCTTAAAAATATAGGGAAAAGTAGTAAGTTCTTACTTTCCTGAATAAACAGGAGGGAAACAACTGTTCTGACTTCCTTAGTAAGGTTATCTTGTCTCTATTTTTACATTCCCCAACAAACTAGTCTGCTAGTCTTAATTGCTACTTCCTCTTTTCAGATGACAGCAGAATGAAAGCTTGTGTGTATCTGCATACCTAGGGATTAATTTGAAGCACTATCATACGGGGATTTTATAGGTCTACATCTTACGAGTTTACTGAAAGTTAAGATACGCCATGGTGTGATTTGTACATTACAAAGAGTACAGAATGTTATGAAAAAAGAAGTGATTTCATACTATGTAAGAAGTGTTTTTGTTGAAATGCAAAGTTTCTGTGTCTGTTTGGGTTAGAAATGAGCAGAGTACAGGAAGTCATGTTTACGTTTATTCAATTAAAACATGTTTCACTGGGTAACCAAACTTCTTTGTACAACTTTAAGAGGTCAAATTGGTTGTGTCATTTAATAGCAACAACTTCTATTCACAGAGTGTTAGAACAGCACAAACTGACAAAAGAACAGTGGGAAGAAAGAATACAGAACTGGCATGAAGAGCACAGGGGAATGTTAAGGTAATTATGTAAAAAATGGTCCAAGACTTTGAAGGGGTTTTTTAATATTACTAGGATGTATTCTGGGAGATGGTTATATTTGTTTGGAAATGGCTTTCTTTTATTCTGACCAGGGTAGGCAGTTACCAGAAGCTTCAATGAAATCTTCACAAAGGTTTGAGTTTCCAGTTAGGTTACTGGTTTACCCACAGGATTTCTGGTAAGATTGTCACCTGGCTTTGCTACAGTTGCCTGACTCTAAAATACATTTAGTGTTTCCTTAACTCAGGGGTGAAAAGGCAGAGTGTGATGATTGTGTATTGGGGTGCCAAATTCTACAAATAACTGGGTCAACATACATATGAATTTCAAAGAGATTTAATTCATAACTAAATTTTACACGAATTAGTTATTCTGCAGTTCCCTTATTCTTACAGTGTACTTCTGATTTGTCTTTTTTCCCCGTCTTTCATCAGGGAGGATTCTATGATGGAATACCTTAAGATAGCACAAGACTTGGAAATGTATGGAGTCAACTATTTTGAAATAAAGAATAAAAAAGGAACTGAACTGTGGCTAGGAGTTGATGCTTTGGGTCTGAATATTTATGAGCATGATGATAAGTAAGTGGCTAAACTCATTTTGCACTTCTTTCCTCTCTGAGATTATACAAAAAAGACTTTATTGTGTGTTCAGTAACATCTATCAAACAGGTTCTCAAAGACCTAATTCTTGTGAAAGATAGAAAAACAGAAATGTTAAGTGCCAGAATACTTGAATTTTAAAGATTAACAAGGGATGCAAGTGAAGGGAAAGTGAAGAGAAGTGAATCATAGAATCACAGAATAATTAGGAATGGAAAGGAACTTAAGATCACCTAGTTCCAGCCCCCCTGCATGGGCAGGGACACCTCACACTAAGCCACCTCATCCAAGGCTCTGTCCAACTTGGCCTTGAGCCACCAGCAATGGAGCATTCACAACTTCTCTGGGCAACCCATTCCAGTGCCTCACCACCCTTACAGTAAAGAACCTCTTCCTTATATCCAATCTAGACTTCCCCTGTTTAAGTTTTAACCCCTTACCCCTTGTCCTATCACTACAGTCCCTAATGAAGAGTCCCTCCCCAGCATCCCTATAGGCCCCCTTCAGATACTGGAAGGCTGCTATGAGGTCTCCACGCAGCCTTCTCTTCTCCAGGCTGAACAGCCCCAACTTTCTCAGCCTGTTTTCATATAAGAGGTGCTCCAGTCCCCTCATCGTGTGAAGTCGGTGAGAAGCTGAATGTGAGCCAACAGTGTGCGCTCGCAGCCCAGAAAGCCAGCCGTATCCTGGGCTGCATCAAAAGGAGCGTGACCAGCAGGTCGAAGGAGGTGATTCTGCTCCTCTACTCTGCTCTCGTGAGACCTCACTTGGAGTATTGTGTGCAGTTCTGGTGTCCTCAACATAAAAAGGACATGGATCTGTTGGAACAAGTCCAGAGGAGGGCCATGAGGATGATCAGGGGACTGGAGCAGCTCGTGTATGAAAATAGGTTGAGAAAATTGAGCCTGTTCAGCTTGGAGAAGAGACGGCTGCATGGAGACCTCATAGCAGCCTTCCAGTATCTGAAGGGGGCCTATAGGGATGCTGGGGAGGGACTCTTCATTAGGGACTGTAGTGATAGGACAAGGGGGAATGGGTTAAAACTTAAACGGTGAAGTTTAGATTGGATATAAGGAAAAAGTTCTTTACTGTGCAGGTGGTGAGGCACTGGAATGGGTTGCCCAGGGAAGTTGTGAATGCTCCATTGCTGGTGGCTCAAGGCCAAGTTGGACAGAGCCTTGGATGAGGTGATTTACTGTGAGGTGTCCCTGCCTGTGCAGGGGGGTTGGAACTAGATGATCTTAAGGCCCTTTCAAACCCTAACTCTTCTACGATTCTATGGAGGGAAGAGCAGTTTTGTGGAAACAAATGTACATTGCTTAATATGGTTGTATGATAGTTAGACCATCTATATATGGTTTCTTTCTGTTTCACTCCTTCATGACTTCCTCTTCGGTCAGGATGAAAAGGACATTGAGAATCTGAGCAACATATTTGATGAAAAACATTTTCTAAGAGCAGTGACCAGGGTTTGTTATAGCTGTTGAAGCATGAAAAACTTTGGTATCTAAAAGTGCACCTTTTACACATCAGAGAAAATAAATGAATCTTTGTCTTGATAAAGTGATCAAATATTCTGTCCTACTTGAAGAGGGATAAAGCTAAAATATACAAAATTTGAAGAACATGAAACAGAACAACAGACTTAATCTTTTGTTTCTTTCCAAACACTTGTAATATCTGATGTCAGCAGCCCTTTCATGGTGATTTGAAGTTAAACGTGTCACACACCAGAAAACAGCTGTCAGCTAACTGAAACTTCATGCTCTCCAGCGTATATACTCTGTAACAAAATTCTGTAAGCTGTAATTGCCATTAGATGGCAATATAACTCCTGAAAGAATGAAATTCTCAGGAAATGTTCTGATCAGATTGAATGATCAACCAATTTTTGGTATTCCAGTAGTTAACAGTCAAATACTGAAACATTTTCCAATGCTTGTAATTAACGTAGCATGAATTGGAGAAACTTTATGTGCTAATGGAGAAAAATATTTATGGTTATGCAGTTGGTGCATATACTGTAACGGTTCCTGAACTGAATTTATTTTACTTAAGATGCAAGGGGAATAAGTTTATCCTGAACTCAAAAATGTTTGAACATGTATCTTGCAACTGAGTTAAGCTGAAGTATGGTAGTGCTGAAGGTTAATTTAATTTCAGTGTTTAAATTGTCAGACTTCTCTTAAATTTAAATATTCTTTTCACAAAAAATTGTCAATAGCTTGTTTCAGTACAGGATTGTGATGTTTAGCATCTATCTAATGGTAGTAGAAGAAGTCACAAAACGAAGTTTCCTTCTGTTACAGTGCAGTGTAATTTATTCATTATGTATTTATTCATTTGATGGAATAATGTGTAAAAAAAAAAAAGCCAAAAACCTACCAAAATATTCTTGAACTGTTATGTTTTGTAAATGTCACTGAGCATGATAGTGGAAATAGAAATAGTTAAGACTTAGTGGGCATAAATAAAATGCACATATTTGGTGCTTCTAATGAGAATTTTTTTTCTTTGAAGGCTAACACCCAAGATTGGTTTTCCTTGGAGTGAAATAAGAAACATCTCTTTTAACGACAAAAAATTTGTCATAAAGCCAATTGACAAAAAGGCCCCCGTAAGTAGTGTGTAGAATAGTATAACTTTGTATATGAGTAGCTATAAGGCTGCTGGGACTTGCTCTAGTGTTACAGCAGGAATAAATACTTTGACATTTATTATTATTATTATTAGTAATCAAAAGGAAATTTTGTTTTTTGAAGTGTGGTTGGTTTGTTTTTTCATTCTGATTGATACCCTTAAGACTTTTTTCTTTCTTCTTTTTCAATTTAAGTCAACTAATAAACTAATATTTTGTGACGTGTTGAAAAGCCATAGTCTAAGATGCTAAATTACACACACACACACACCCCCACACACACCCCGTGTTTCTTTTCTTGTCTTCTATTGCAGCACCACATTTCATGAGACTTCCTAGGTCACAGCTCTTCAGAAACAAAGTAGGGAATAGTCTCAAGTGGTTTAGAAGTTTTATGTAAAAAAAAAATAAAAAAAAAAAATAATTGTGTAAACTAGGTAACCTCTACATGGAGGAATCAGGTGTAATTTTTAATTTGCCTTGCAAGTTCCTGACAGTAGCTAGATTTATAGATTATGGTGCTGAATTACTCAGAGGTTGAATGTCAAAATGCTTGTTAGTTTAAATTTAACAAATGTAAGCATGCAGTAATGCCTTCAGCCTTGTCACAACTGTATTTTCACACTAGTGGATATGTTGCAATTATTTTTTTGCTAGGATTTTGTATTTTATGCACCTCGTCTCAGAATTAACAAGCGAATTTTGGCACTGTGTATGGGAAATCATGAATTGTACATGAGGAGGAGGAAACCTGATACAATTGAAGTGCAACAGATGAAGGCCCAAGCTAGAGAGGAGAAACATCAGAAACAATTGGAAAGGTAATTAACAAACTTCCACAAAACAAAAAAATTCTTCTACCCTTTTAAGAAGTCATAGAATAATAGGCATCTTAGTATTCTAGAAAAGAGAGCTCCTTTTTTCTGTAATGTATAAGCAGATTTGTGGACTGTCATGGCTCACCTGAAAACCGTATCTTTTTTAAGCTTTCAGCATTGTAATAGTAGCTCTAAAGTTGTTTCTCATTATGTTTTTGTGAAATAGGCTGTTGGTTAATTCTTAGGGTCCTTTATACTCTACAGGTGAACCTTTAAAGCAATTTCAGTGAAGAATGTCATGGCTTACCTTTTGTATATTTAAAAATACCATTGCCATTTATAGCTCAGATGAAACATCATGTCTAAAATACAGGTATAATAGTGGATTTAACTGGTTGAACCATAACCAAGCAGTTCTGTTCATAAACTGTTTTTCTGGACAATGTTTTGAAACAGAAACTTGGTGGGTCTTGTATTATAAACTGAATTTTAAACATTTAAAATTATGTGCTCCTCTGGTAGCCAAGTAAACTGAAAAATGGGCTACGAGCATCCGTAGAGTAGAATTTAATCTGTTTGAGGTTAAAAAAAATTCCCCCAACGTTTATTAATTTTTCAGGGCACAATTAGAAAATGAGAAGAAGAAAAGGGAAATAGCAGAAAAGGAAAAAGAAAGAATAGAGCGTGAAAAGGAAGAATTGATGGAACGCTTAAGACAAATTGAGGAACAAACAATGAAAGCTCAGAAAGGTGAGCTGTTACTGGTCCTGGATTTCTTATGTCTGTTGACAGTGTTTAGTTCAGTTGGATAGTTTAGTTCCACAGTCCTCTTGGTATGCATAGGGTTTCCATTTAACTTGAGATACTCTTCTTCAGTGTTAAGGTTTGGTGTGTGCATGTATGTGTATATTTGTAATATAACCCCCATTCCTAATATAGCAAAAGTTTCAATTTTCTTTAGTAAAAAGGAAGCTAATGTGTACAGTTCAACTCAGAATTATGAAATGCTTACCATGCTGAAAACCTGGAGTTGGAGGGAGCAGGGGAATGGGAGAGAACAATTTTTAGTACTTCCTCTAGGATTTTGTTGAGTTTAGCCTTTCATTTGGAAATTATGTGCTCCTTCCTTTTCCTATTCTCTTGTAAGATTTGAGAATTTTTAATTTGAATCTTGTCATATTTTAGTAAATAAATGTAGCCTTACCAATTGCAGAAGTTTGAATGTGTATGTACATGTATATGTATGTGCATTTGACTGTTAAATTTTATTAGTAAGGTGAGAATTGTCTTAAATACTGGGCTGTCAGAACTGTCAGGTGAGATGAAGTATATCCAAAGTGTGTCTTAGAGGGGGGAAAAAATGAGATACGGTGCAGACCTTCAGGTAACATGCTCAACAACAGCTCTTCTTAGCTTCAGACAGCCTTGCCTTGTAAAGCTTTGACATCTTTTTAAGTTACTTGATTTTGAGCATGTTACAGCTGTTACCTGCGTTATGTGTGAGGAAGAGCTGTGAAGTGAAACCCTGTCTGCAAACTTTCCTTTTGGCAGAGTTAGAGGAACAGACTAGGAGAGCTCTAGAACTGGATCAAGAACGAAAGCGTGCAAAAGAGGAGGCAGAGCGCCTGGAAAAAGAACGTCGAGCAGCTGAGGAAGCTAAAGCTGCTCTAGCCAAGCAGGCAGCAGATCAAATGAAGAACCAGGAGCAGCTAGTAAGAAGCTTTAACCCTATTTTGAAACAAATTGAAAAAGGTGTTTGAAAATTTAGCCCTTATTCTTGGTTACATCCATTTTGTCAAATTGACAAGTATGATGAAACACAGATAAAAGTATGTGAAATAACATTACAGATTGTTATGGGAAGGTTTTTAGAAAACTCTATTAGTTTTACCACTAGTTGCAAGAAAAAAACCTAACAACTCTGGAGCTATAGGAAATCAAATGATGAAGTAGACATTTAACACTGACAATACTCACTACATTCTCTTTCAAAGGGTGTCAGGCTTACCCAGCTGAGAGCAGCAGTTGCTTCCATCTGCAGTCCCTTGAGAAGCTTGTTCTCTGAGGCATGTCTGTTCTGAAGCTTCATGGTGGTTGTAGGGAATTGGTGACACTGTGGTTTGGTTTTTGGTTTTCTTTCTTGTTTCTTACCCCCCCGCTCCCCTTCTGTTTCCAGCATTTACAGTATCTTCTAATATTCTGTGCCAGACTACTTCAAATTCAAGATTTGCATGTAATAACTGAGAAAGGCATGAGAATAGTAGAAGAAATGATTTCTCAACTATAAAACTGCTTTTGATCTTCTGTAAATTTAGAACACAATTCTAAAGGCAAGATTTAGCTTAATAGTACTGAGATTATGATCCAGAATCATAATCTTATTGATGGAACTATTAAAGTTGTATTAAACTGAAACAGCCCCAAATGCTAATTTGTAACTACAGCTTGCTCTTTTCCCAGCAAGCTTTGGAAGTGCATAAGATAAGTGATTTTTTTCTGACTTACTTCTGTCAGGTGAGAATACAGATTCGTTTCCTTTGTCATGTGTGCTTAAATTTCTATTTTTAACAGAGAAGCGATGGATGGTAACTCTTTTCAAGTTGGATCAGAACAAAGGCTCTGTTTTTTTCCACTGCAGAACCATAATGATACCAAGTTAAAACCTCTACTTCATGTTTTGTTTGTTTCAGGCAGCAGAACTTGCTGAATTCACTGCCAAGATTGCACTTCTAGAGGAGGCCAAGAAAAAGAAAGAAGAAGAAGCCTCAGAATGGCAGCACAAAGTAATGAGCTCCTGCTGTGTGAAGTCAGAACATCAAAGAAACTAAAGGAGATGAGTGCTGAAATCCCACTGGAAGTCCATGGGATTGAATCTCTCTTTCCGTTAGGCTTTAGAGAAGCCTTTCTTACAGGTTTTTGTTCTCCAGTCGACTGAAGCCAGCCTATACTTCCTTTAACTTATTTCTTAAATCAGGTGGGAGAGGGGGAAATTCTCATCTAGAGACATGGCCAAAGGTTTGAAATGGCTTCCTTACATATGGTGGTGAAACCTTCATGTTGGATCAGAAAACATAGCAGGAGGGAGGTGTTTAACATCGTGTCTGGTCGTGAAAAAACAAAGGCACATCAAATGCAGCTGAACAGTAGAATCACAGAATCATAGAATACCAGGTTGGAAGGGACTTACCTGTGCTGGTGATGCCCTTGTTGTTGTAACCCAGCATCCCTTTAGCTTTCTTTGCTACAGCAGCACACTGTTCACTCATATTGAGCTTGCTGCCCACCAGGACCCCAGAGTCCCTCTCTAAAGAGCTTCTCCCAGGTGGGCAGATCCCAGCATGTGCTGCCTTCTTGGATTGTGTTTTCCCATGAACAAGACCTTATGCTTGTCCTAGTTGAACTTACTATGGTTCTTGTTAGCCTGCTCTTCCAGCCTATTCTGTAGGGTAGCTCTCCTGTCCAAACTGTCGAATTCCCCATTCAGTTTGGCATCGTTGGCAAACCTGGTGAGGGTACTCTGGATCTCATCTTCCAGCCTATTTATGAAGATATTAAAGTGTTGGGCCCAGTATTGATCCCTGGGGGACCCCACTGGTGACAAGTTGCCAGTTTGAAAAGGAGCTGTTCACCACCACCCTCTTGGTGCAGCCGATCAGCCAGTTCCGCACCCACTGCACAGACACTTGCCCAGACTGTAACATTACAGTTTCTCCAGGAGCAGGCTGTGGGAACCTGCACCAAAAGCCTTGGATAAATTCAGGTAGACAATGTCCAGTGCTTGCTCCACATCAACTGAGGAAGTTACTTTGTCGTAAAAGGTGACTTGTCAAGCGCAATTTGCCCTCTGTGAATTGTGCTGGCTTTTCCCAATCATGTGCTACATTCGACTTGTGATAGCCCCCAGGAGGATTTATTTCATAACTTTCCTGGGAACTGAAGTAAGACTATTTGGCCTATGATTTCCTGGATCCTCCTTTGAAATCTTTCTTGTAGATGCGGGTGACATTTGCCACCTTGGAGTCTTGTGGGATGTTCACTGATCTCCATGCTTTCTCAAAGATTGCGGAGAACAGCCTCACCGTAACATTAGCTATTCTCTTAACACCTTCAGGTGGATATTGTAAGGGCCCATTGATTTGTAGGAGTCAAGCTCCTCTATTAGTTCATATACCAAACCTTCCTTCACTTATGGTGTCTCTAGGTTCATATCAACATGGATTTTTGTTCCCAAGGCCTACAGCTCCACAGTGCTTGTAAAGACAAAGGTGAAGAAAATGTTGAAAACCTTTGCCTTTTCAGTGTTGTTGACTAATTCCCTTCTGCGTAACAGTGGGACAGTGTTTTCCTTCTGTTTCTACTTGTTGTTTATGTACCTGAAGAACCCTTTCAAGACATGATAGGATATAAGGAAGATATTCTTTACTGTTAGGGTAGTGAGGCACTAGAATGGGCTGCCCAGGGAGGTTGTGAATTCTCCATCCCTGGCGGTGTTCAAGGCCAGGTTGGACAAAGCCTTGGGTGGCATGTTTTAGTATGAGGTGTCCCTGCCCCTGGCAGGGGCATTGGAACTTGACGATCTTGAGGTCCTTTCCAACCCTAATTACTCTATGACATTTCTGACCAATTTCAATTAGAGCTGAGCTTTGCTTTTCTAACCGCATCTCTGCATACCCTGGCAATGCCCTTGTAGTTTTCAGTGGGTGTTCATCCATCTCTTGGTTTTGATCAGACTCAGATGCTCTTAGTTAAGCCAAGGGGATACTTGCTCTTCCTGCTTCCATTACCTTTGAAGGGGATAAACTGTTTTTGTGCTTCCAATAGAGTGTTCTTGAAAATCTACCAGCACTCACTAGGTCTTTTATTGTCCATGGAAGCTTCCCACAGAATCCCTCCCAGCTGAGCTCTGAGCTAGCTGAAGTTTGCTCTTCTAAAATCTAAAACCTTTGCCTTTGGACTAACCTTCAGCATGCTTGGGTAGATCCCAAACTCCACACTGTTGTGATCACTGCACTGAGTGCAGCCAAGGCTGTCACTGACCAAGATACTACTAAGCATGTTTCTTTGGTTTGTGAGTGCAAGTCCAGCAGTGCATCCTTCCTGGTTGGCACATCTGATATTTGTATGAGGAAGCAGTCCTCTATGCATTCCAGGAATTTGATGGATGACATGTTGAGCTTCTGTATTGTTGTTCCAACAAATGACTGGGTAGTTGAAGTCACCCATAAGAATCAGGTTTTATTGTCCTGAAGCTTGCTTAAGAAATCCAAATATTGCTTCGTTTGCCTTATCATCTTGGTTTGGGAGTTGATAGCAGATGCTTACTGTAAGATGTGCCTTGGAGACAACGCCTCTGATCTTTACTGAGAAGTATTTGATAGGGCTTCAACAATCCCTATAGTTGATTTCTAAATGTTCAGGGTTCTCCTTAACAGAGCATGACTCCTCCTCCTCTTAGTATTTCTGGACAAAATCTGTAATTAGCTATGGGATATGAATAGTAATTGTGTGCATAGGGTCAAAAGGTGATTGAATGACTGGACAAATTCTCAGAAATGCTGGTTGAATATAGAATTTGAAGACATCACCGTTGATTTGGGAAGTCCCTGAGCCTTGATTTTCAGGTGGTCAGGAAAGTTGGAAAACGATCAATATGACTGCCATATTCTCTCACTCTACTGCTGGAAATGGCTGGACTCCAGTACAGCTGGTTTTGAGTCCTGCGTTTTTTTACCCTCTATTCCTATTTGGCAGTTTTCAGTGCATACGCTTAGCTGTTACTTATAAAGGACCCTTTCCATGTGTGAGATGTGAAGACCTGTCCGATACATTTTTATTTTTCTGACTCTAAGTACTGTTTATTATACTTAGGCTTTTGCAGCCCAAGAGGACTTGGAAAAGACCAAAGAAGAACTGAAATCTGTGATGTCTGCTCCTCCTCCACCTCCTCCCCCACCAGTTATCCCTCCAACGGAGAATGAACATGATGAACATGATGAGAACAATGCTGAAGCCAGTGCAGAACTGTCTTCTGATGGTGTCATGAATCACAGGAGTGAAGAAGAACGGGTAACAGAAACACAGAAAAATGAACGTGTTAAGAAACAGCTCCAGGTAATGAAGATTCATAGTTGTATCAACGTAATTCAGGCTTTGGCTTTTCATTTTTATGTGTCAAAATCTCACTGAAATGACAGTGTGCCAAGGAAACAGCCTTTCTATACCTTACTAGGTTTATTAGTAGTTTACCAACCAATATCACTCCTACTGTTCTGGAAGTGAAACAGAACATGAGTTAAGTTGTGCTTTATTAGGTTAAAAGTGTTAGGATCTTGTCACATTGGCCAGTAAATGTTTCTAATAATTACATAATGTCCAGGACACTGAATGCTGAATCGTAATGCTTTCCTTTCTCAGTACTGAAATTCATTAAGTGCTATGAACAGATACTTGCTTAATAGTATTTGCGTTTGTTTGCAGTTAAATGTTGTAAATGCAGAAACTGAATTATGCCTATTTTGGATTAATCTTATTTCCCTGAAATGGAGCATTTTATCCTAGACTAATCTTACCCCTCAAAGGATAATAATCTATGTTAGTGGTATCCCTTTGCCTTGTTATGAAATATCTGTTTGGGAAGAGAATAAATGGAAAGCTACTGCTTTTTCTCACAGCAGTATGCTAGTAGCATGTGTATGTAACATCCTTTATGCTTGGCCAATCTCTGAACACGATCAGGTTGATAAGTGCTGTCTTTAGTCAAGCAGAAATCGAAAAATCAGGTAATTCTGCTTTAACCTGCTGGTACCTTTCTGTTTGGATATATGGTATGAGGCCCACTTTTTCTAGTGTAAGGAAAAAACCTACGCTTTCTTCTTTTTCTTTGCAGGCTTTCTGATAGGCAGTGTGAGTTTCTGAACAGTACAAGCATTTCATAGGTTGGCATTCAAGAGATCCTTATTCAAGTTGCAGAGTAGTTATTATCAGAAATTCCAGAAATATTGAAAGATTAGGCAGAGCACTTAAATGCAAATATTTTATTCAACAGGCTCTAAGTTCTGAGTTGGCTCAAGCCAGAGATGAAACCAAGAAAACACAAAATGATGTCCTTCATGCTGAGAATGTTAAAGCAGGCCGTGATAAGTACAAGACTCTTCGACAAATCCGACAAGGCAATACAAAGCAGCGTATTGATGAGTTTGAAGCAATGTGAGAGTTGTTATTTTGCATATATGTTCCTCATAAGGCTGAACCACCAACAGAGAAAAAAGCAGGCCTTTGCAGATTTGATGGATTGCACCCCACTTTGCCAAAGCACTTAATACCAGTTTGACTAGAGTGGCTAGAAGACAAATTTAGGGGAAGCTATTCAACAATAAGGCAGTCTGTCATCCCTAGGTTTTTGGTTGGGAGGGTGTGGAGAATGATACCAGGGTGTTGGGTTTTTTTCCCTGTCATGTTTTCAGTTTCAGTGTTTCATATTTTTTTCTTTGGAAACTGATGTGAAGTATATGACTGACAAGTGTATATATTGCTTAAAGATTAAGAAGGAGAAACAAGAATGGAACTGGACCTAAACTGGATAGGTACTATCCAGGGAACTTCCCATGTGAAGTTTGAAGTTACATTTTTCAATGTAGCTACACCACTGAGAGTTTGATATTGCTGACTTTTAAGGAGGTTTTTTTGTTTGTCCTCTTTTCATTTTTGGTTTTTCCCACTCCCGAGTGAAATTCTTTGGTGTTTCATGTCCTGTCATCATTGATGGTTTTCTTTGCCTACCTGTTCACAAAGGTCTGGATGGCAGGTGGTAGTTCCAGGAAATATTTTTAAATGGAACACTACCTGTGGGCAGCACAGGGCTGCTGATAGGCTTGTGTAAGTATTGCTTTTCCTAGGAGATTTTTTAGATGTGCAGAATGTTCTAATGCAGCAAAAGAAAAGAAAACAAAAACAAAGCTTTGTGTGCAATTTGCTTGTCATTATTTTATTTGTAGTAGGGAGACCTGGACCTTTCTGGCAAGGGAGCATATGAAAACATCAGTCCCAGGGAGGGGACAATATCCTACCTCACTACTATGTACATGATGACTGGTCCTTCAAACACCATGAAAAAAACTGTTTAAATTGACTGTGACTGCACAGTGATACCATAGAACACGAAGAGCCCTTACTGCTAGGATTTTGGTTTACTTTAAGATGCATTCATAGTGCTAAATACTGTCAAACTGCCTTTTGTTGAGTTTCAGTGTGAAAGCATCTTGCATGTTTCACAGCTGTAATCTGTCACTGGTATACCTATCTCCTGGGAGGGGTGTAGAATGTGCATGTCAGTTCTGGTTTTGGTTTCCAAATACAAAATGAAAGTTCCCAGAATTTGAGTAAAAGTGGTTGTAGCTTCAGTTTTCAGTGAAGCTGGTATTGTAATTGTCCTATCTGACGCCAAGTCATTGTTATTAAGTCCTTTCCCTCTTGAAAAGGAGACCTTTTTTTGAGAAATTTGCTTGGAAATTGAACTCCAGAAGTAACTTTACAGCTAATTTGAACTGCAGTTACTCCTTTTGTTATAGTACCCTAGTAGATATGTACAGCAGAAGAACCCTGCTTTCTCTGAGGATGGTTCAGCTCTTTTCTGTTTGGTATTATGCACTCATAAATTTACACTTATCTATTAAAATTTGCCATTTTATTAAACATTTTTTTCCATGCACAATAGGTTTAAATTTCTATGAACAGTCCAACTAAGGTGTTTTGGTTTTTTTTTTAATTTTGTGGAGTTAAAGGTTGGCTATGTGGGGTGACATCATGAAAATAAAATAAAGATACATTAATATATTTTTGGGGCTAAACATACCTGGTTGACCTTGAAGACCGATGTGCAGATGGTGTGCACATGCTTCAAAATGCTGCTTGGTGGAAGCTGGCGTTTCTACTTGCAGTGCATTGTAAGAACAGTTTTTGTTTCACAGGCTTCATACACCGAAGCTTAAGTAAATTTCTGGAGTATTGGAACAGTCTGCTGTAGCAGCGGGAGTACTGTGCTTCCAGTGAGTCTTCATTTTTCCCTGGAGATTGTGCACTAACACTGATACATCAGTTTAAGTGTTGGGAAAAAAATACCAGTAAAGTTTATTGTTCATAAAATCTACAGTCTATAGAGTAGGGCTGAATGGGTTAGGTCCATTTATAAAGCTGTGTGGATTTTTATTTTTTTTTTTCTAAACAACCAGGAACAACCATTTGTAATACAGATTTTCACAATGAACAAAGTGATAATAGCTGCTGTGACCAGCAGTTGGGAACACTTACTGGTGCGGAAACACTAAGAATACACTTAATGATACTTGGTGAAGTAATTTTCCACGTTTTTTCCTTTAGCATAATGTTTTTGTGTTGTACAATTAAGCTACAATTACTTCTACTATTTTGGATAACATTCATTGGTTAACAATAAAGAGATACAGTTAATTTCTCTGAGGTCCATTGTTGTTATTTGATGCCCTTTATTTCTGACAGCTTTACTAAATGCACTGAAACAGCCTCTTTCCAGAGCAGTTTACAAATCTTGATCATCTTTTGTTTCACACTCTGGTCAAAATGAAATTTAAAATAAGTAAATTTCAAAATGTATCTCTAGAGAATGGTACTCTGCTTAAGAAATTACCATGTACAGTTGGGAGGAAGCACTGGTGATTGTCAATTCAAAACAGGATGTGAATCATCAGAGCAAATCGGGTCTCTTGCGAAGAGAGGGTAATTTTGCCATCCAGGAGCTCTGTGGGTAACATAAGAACTTTCAATCACTGCCTACATATTGCTTAGCCCCAGGTTAAATGAAATTTAGTTTTACAGATCAATTTCTTAAGCACTGAGAAACCTCAGTATGTGGGGTTTTTTTTTGATACTGCAAGTTATAGTGGACAGTGCTGTCAAATGCATAGCCATATGTCTCAGATAATGGCAATTTTATGGGCTTTTTCACCTATTTAATACACTTGGAGAAGTCAGGAACAGTCCCATATAAATAAGTGTACAAATTAATCTGCTAAGCAGCTCTCACATAAGTTGGACCTCCTCTCACATGACATTCCATTCTACCTCCTCTCCCATGGACCTCCATCTCACATTGGACCTCCTCTCACATGACATTCCATTCTAGCCTTGCACTCAGTACCAAATACATGACCCTTTTTGTTATCCCATATGGTGGAGTTGCTATGATGAATTAAAACACATAGTTGATACTTTCAACCATGCATGTTTCTAGCTTTCTGCCTCTTGTTGGAGCCCCTCCTGCTGAGGCATTAGATTTGAGGTTTCTCACTTGTTAAGAGTGCTCTGCTTAGGTATGTAACTTCAGACTGTGCTTGAAAGGGGAGGTAAGTGCTTTGAAAGATTATTTAATTTTTTAAAACATGTTCTTGAGGTGGAGAGAACAGTATGCAAGTAGTGACACTATTTACAGGCCGAGACTAATGCAGTTACCCAGAATGCCACGATGTAAAGGAAGATACCCTGTCTTCTTGAAGTAGCCCTATCTGCACATCAAAACCTGCATTTATTGTTAGTTTTACTATTGGAGTGTGTCTCTTGTATACGTCTGCCTTTTTCAACCCAATTTGGAAAGCATTATTATGCTTTTGCCTCCCTCGTAGGACACATTCTGTAGGGCTGTTAAGTTACCTGCTTCAGCACCACTGAGGAAAAAAGAGATTTATTTTGATGAAACATTTTAAATCTCTGAGGAGAAAGTACCTCAAATATGTTTTGGGGTTTTGTTCTGTTTTGTTTGGTTTGGTTTTGGTTTGGTTTGTTCATTTTTGTTTTTTTTTTTTTGTTTGTTTCTTGGGTTGGTTGATTTTTTTGTGGGTTTGTTGTTTTTTTTTTCCTCTATTTTGGGGGGTTTTGTGGTTTGTTTTTTTTTTTTTTGGGTTGGTTTGTTTGTTTTTCACAAAGATTAAAATTATTAGTTCAAACCTTTTGGTTTTCATAGAATCACAGTCTGGTTTGTGTTGGAAAAGGACCTTAAGATCATCTAGTTCCAACTCCCCTGCCATGGGCAGGGTCTCCACTCACTAGACCAGGGGTTGCTCAAAGTCCAACCTGGCCTTGAACACTGCCAGACATGGGGCATTCACAACTTCCTTGGGCAGCCTGTTCTACTGCCTCACCGCTGTCATAGATATTATACATAACTTAATGTATCTTAGCTGGCTGATAACAGTTTTCAGGAAGTGAAGTGTCAATTGATCAGCATACAAACGGTGGAAAGGTTTTTGACCCCTCTCAGAGCATATTCTGTTGTTTCGCTTAGAGATGGAGTGTGCCTGCAGCCAGGCTGGGATGCCATGCTGGCTACTCAGCTGTGGTGGCTAGGAGAAGTTTCTGGCCAGGTAGCATGTCCCTCTGCTCTGCTCCGCTCCGGATCCTGCCAGTGCAGCACCTTTCCTTCCCAGCCAGCTGCTCTGCAAGCATGCGAGTTTTACACAACTGGTCCTTTTCCCACTCTGGGGACCCAGTCAGCAGCAAAGGGCAGCTCAGGGCTGGAAGGGGTGGCATAAAGGTGAAGAGTAATGGTAGAGGGCTGTATGGAAAAACATGAACATGGTGAGCTAGAATCCTTAACAGGTCCATTCTTTCACTTAAGGACTCCCTTTCAGTGTGCTAGAGCAGCATCCATAAATTAACTGTGTGTGGCTAATAATTTGTTCAGCAAATTCATCAGCCAATTTGTTGGAGGGACTTGCACTTTGTACTGAGCTGAGCTGAGTGAGCCCAGATCTACAGGCTTAGGGCAGTTACCTGGCTTTGTGTTGATTGTTGAAGTGCCGCCACTTGTGTTCACTTTACTATCTGTAGATTCCAAGCTGATAAACTGTTGCTTTGGACTGGAGTTAAACTTTCAGTTGGTTTGCTTTTTCTCCCTTCCATGCAAAAAGATTGCTGACATATCAAATGTATGTATTTCATTTAATGTGAATGAAGTGGACTCACCAAAGCCCAGAAAGCCTCCCCCCAAAACTCCAATCCTAAACCATCATTTCTTCACAAGAAGAGAGCACAATATTAGCAGCAGTGCCTGCAATATTCTAAATATTCAGGAAGACAGTGATTGTGCCACATAGCTCATAGTTAAGGGAAAGGCAAAGTTAGCAAAGGGCAATGGAGCATTTTGAATTGCTGGGATTCCATTAGATGTTTATGTTGGCTTTCATAAATAACATGTCAGAGTGTTTCTGTTCACAGCAGTAGGCTTTAGGCAGCAGAAGAAACGAGGGGAGATGGAAATGCACATCAAAGGAGGCGGCCTGGTTGGTGCAAATATTCCTAATGCATGCGTGCATAAGAGTTAATGTTTCCTGGATAAGTGGATCAGGTGAAAAGAGATCAAGCTCAGAGGTAGGACGATTACATTGCTTTATTTATTTGGGTTTTGTTTGCTTTTAAACTACCTTATTTACAGGAGAGGAGTTGCTCTTACCTGAATATTTAGCTGTGAAGGCTTTTAGAAGGCCTGCTGCCCAGCACTGAATGGTCTTGAAGTTCTTAAGATCGTGTGTACTCAGACTGGCCTCTGTGTTATTACTTGCTAAATCTCACCAGAAGACATCCTCTGCAGTCTGATAACTTCGCCTTAGATGGTCTCTGCATTGACAAGAGTGATGCACTTGCATGGTTCCAGCTGCCCCACTGCTTGTTCCAGCAACGCAAAGCCCATATGTATCCGTGCGAAAGAGTAATGGGATGACAGGCTCTGTGACCACATACGCTGAGCTCTGCTGATCTCATATCAATTTACAGCTCCCTGTGGCCCTAGCTTTCATGGTTCTTATTCATCCTTGATTTCCTCACTGAACATGATACAGCATTTAACTTTGTGATCTATAACTTCAATTATACTCAACCGAGCTTCCAGTAAAGGGTTGACTACAGTGTCAAATGTTTTCTTAAAATCATTACACTGATGAGTTGAAATAGTCACACTTTCCTTTTATTTAGGCAGCACATCTGATTAATTAATAATCTCTATGAATATGGTAATTGCAGTTGTATTGCCAGAAGCAGATCCATTTGCATCAAGGCTGAGGCTGAAAACTTTTCTGTCAAGCACACTTCGATCTTCAACAAAGTAAGTTGAGAATGTGGAAGTAACATCTGGAATAGACAGAATACACAGATCCTGTCGCTGCTGGCTGTATTGCTGGGAACAGATTCATTTATGTTTGAGCACATTTAGCATTTAGGGATTTGGGACAGCAAGCTTGATCACACATCAGAGAAATTTGTGAAAATAGTAAGAAATCTTTGTATCATTAATCAGCACTTCTGCTGTGTTCCTGTCCTTGATAACTTTTCTTCAGTTGAATTCTCATTTTGAATTATTCGATCTCTTGTGAACAATGTTTTGCACATGCATCTTGCTGCTCAGTGCCAGCTGCTGTACTTCTCTATACCATTTGAAAACACAGCTCTTCCTCTTTCTTGTGCATTTGGGATATTACAGTGGTGTTTTCAACAAAGCCAGCTAACTCCATCTTTTAAGTTTAGAATGAATGCTACTACTTCTTGGAATAATCTGTGGATTAATTTTTGCTACATTTTCTCTTATTAAGCATGCTTAGTATATGGCACCTTACAGAAGAAATAACAGTATTGGCTAGTTAACAAGTGCTAGTAGTATTTTGGAGAATGGAAAATGTCAGAATAAGCAGGGATGTTAATGGGTGTAGAAAACCAAGAAAGATCTGAATCTCAGTGTTTATACACATGAGGTTCCACTTTGAACCTAGACCTAGTCATGCAGCACATGGAGAGAAATTCTCAGCTTTCATTGTGCAGCTTCTCTGTCCCTCTGAGCAAGGCAAGAGAAATCACAGGAATAGAGTGGTTATGCACACTCAAAGAGCAGAGCAGCCGGGCACAATTGCTTGGTGCTCTGGCTTTGCTTTTCTGCACAACACTTGTCCTGGATGATAGAATAATAAAATGAAAAAAAAACCCCACATGAAATAGTTGCCTTTTTCCTGTGGACTCTTCCTTAGAAGAGCAATGGTTATACTGCCTGGCTTTGAACCTTGTCTGCAGGTCACCCTGGTAAAGCTGAACTCCTTTATAGCATAATCACAGACATCTTTGCAGAGTTGAATACCCAGCGGCTCTTCTGCCCATCCTGATTTTAAGCAGTAGTGGTCAGTGTTGGGGAAAAGATCTCACAGCTGTCTCCATTCCTTTTAGTACTGAGCCAGGAAATAAATTCTGGAGAACCTTCTTTCTAGTGGTGGCTTCTGTATGCTTTAGGTGGCCCTTTTCTTTTGTGTTTCTCTCAGTCTTTGAACTAGTTCTTACTTCTCACCTTGCTTTACTGCTACTCGGGTCATTTGTTTTGGGGTGTTTGATTGGGTTTTTGTTTGTTTTGTTTTGGGTTTGTTTTTTTTTTTTTTGTCTTTGCTAGTGTCGTGCCATTTATT